AAGGTGGCGGCAGCGCGCTCCCTCCGCAGGTCCGCGTTCACCGACATCGCGGCGGCGGCTCTGCCCGGTTCCCGATCCCGGTTCCCGATCCCGGTCCCGGCTCCCGATCCCCTCCCGTCCCCGCTGCGCCGGCACCGCCCCCGCGTGACGTCACTCCCGCGACACCACGTGTTTCCTGAGCACGTGGGTCCCGGCCCGTGCCCGGCCTTCCCGCGGGAGGCGATGGCGGAGCGGTGAGGGCGCGTTCATTCGTGCTGGGAGCGGTGCCTTAAATCGCGCTGTGATGCGCATGGAGCAGCGCTGGGAGAGCGTTCGGCACATGCGGCATCGGCATGGAGTAGTTAATTGAATAAACAGCTCATTAAATGCCGTTAGCGGGCTGCGTTTGTGCACGCGTTAAGTACGGTGTTGGCTAGTGCTCTGGATCTGCGTATAAAGGGCTGCGCTTGGGGCTGGGCCGGCCGTAAATCTCTGCAAGGTCCTGCACTGGAGGTGGCGCATGCATTAGGTAGTACGTTGGGTGGGCACAGGGTGTGTGGAGACTGAGGTATGGCTTTTACGACTTAAATTACTCTATACGTTAAAAGGTGTGTTAAATGCGCCCTGAGTGTCTTGCATCCCTGGCTGATCCGCCTTGCTGCACGGTGTGATTCGGGAGCAAAACCCGAGCGGAACAGGTGCCGAATTGACCCAGGGATGCACGGAGCTGCGGAGGGCAGGGAGGTGGGTTTCCACCTCCGGGGCCCACGCTGGCACCCTGCCAGAGGGGTTTTTCAGCCCGCCCTGGGTGTCTGTCCACAGCCTGGCACGGGACTGTACGGCAGCAGGCAGAGAAAGAGGCGTGTGCAGGGACGGGGTACTCCAGGGCCTTCCTTCGGCAGCCTTCCTCCTCTGTGGGGCATTTTGCAAGGGTGCAACCCCGTGAGCAATGCGTGGGGTGGGCAAGGGACACCAGGCATTAAAGCCCACAGCGTGTGTGTCAGCTCAGTGTCCCCACTGCTGGATAATCAGTGTTGGGCGTCCTTGAATATCCAGCAATGGACCCGCTTGTCTGAGTGGCAGAAGTCCCTGCCTGGGCTGCTGTGCAGCTCTTGGGATCCCCCACATAGAGGCAAAAAAAAAGAAAAGAAAAACAGTAAATGAAGCATGGAAATACTCCAAACACAGGCAGCCTTTCCAAACACAGAGGGAAAATTATGCAAAAAATAAACCACTTCAGGGCACAGCCAGGAACCTGGCTATGACATTGACTGGGCAAGATTAGAACTTTGCTGAAGCTGCTTTGCATTCCTGCCTTTCTGTGTGCTCAGTGCTGTGGCTGACTGCGTGTGTCAGCCCTGCTCCACCACAGGAGCTCCCAGGAGGTCCCACCTGAGCTTTGTCTTGGAATTAATCCTTCTCACTCGTCACTGTCTTCTAAGCCCTACCAGACTTCTGATGAAACCAGGCTGGCTTGGATCCAATGTATTGTTCTCCAGCTGCAGGATCAGACACTGACAGAACTTTTTATGCTGCAGTAAGAGAACAGGCTCGGGATCATTCCTTAAATATTGCTGCAATAGTGCTCTGTCACCCCAGCAGCTGAGGCTATCCCTGCATCTCAGTCCCCCACACTCTGAACTGCTCCGTCACCACTCTCCCCACTTCCTTAACCTTTCTCAACTTGTCCATAGCCTGGAGGAGACCCAGAGGACCTGGTGGTCTGCCTGTAGTTCATGCTGCGTTGTGTGTGACTAGACAGCTCCTCTGTGCCAGAATGCTCTGGGCTTGGCACATTTACTGAGCTGAAAACAGGACTCAGCAGGGAAGCTGTGAAGCTCTTGCAGCCCCCTGGACGGTGGAACCTGGGCAAGGAAGGAGTTGAAGGGCAGTATCACTTACAATTTGTATCAGGTACTGGAGAAGCATGGAGTCAGACCTTTTGCTTTACTGCAGGCCAGCCGTTGTATGAGATGCTTCCAAGTGCTGGTGTCTATTACTTCCCGTGGGAGATCAACAGCTCAGTCCCCGAGGGGAAGACACTGAGGACATTTGGCAGGTGAGAAGGGTACCCTGCTCTCCTTGCAGGCCAGGCCTTTTCTTAACTGGCTGAGCATCCCCTCTCCCCTTTGGTTTGTAATTGGATTTTTGCACAGCTGAGCTTCCTGAATTGATCATTCCCAGGTTATGCTGCTATGACCTGGCCCGATCTGAAGCCGTTCTCACCACGCAGCACAACTCGGCTCAGTACCAAGTCTGTGTTGACACCAAGTTTGTGGAGCCATTCCAAGCCCAAGTGGGATCGTTCTACATGGTCCTGGGAGAGGCTGAGCACAGGGAAGGTAAATGCTCCACAAACTGGTGCCCTTTGCTGCTCTTCATGGTACATCAGCTCTTTCGGGGCTCCCTGAGTCACCGAGGGCAGCCTGGGCCAAGGCTCCTCTCATGCAGCTCCTCCAGTCACATGAGTGTGTGATTCAAGGTACTGCAGACCATGAGAAGAACTACCCTTATCTTGGTGAAAATCTGGTCCTCTGGCACAGATTTTAGAAAAAAAAAAGGCATTTCAGCAGCATTGCTGGGCTTGTGAAACCTGTGCTAAAAAGCCTTCCGGCATCACTGCCAGCCACCACACCAACTGACTTCACCCCAAACGTGGCAGATTGCAGCAATACCTCATTGCAAGTGGCTGGGTTGGTCTTTGCCATCTTTGAAAGGCTTTAATTATTATCCCTGCCCTCAGATATGTGAGGAATGCAGCAGGCTGTGTCATACAGGGCACCCTGTTGTCCTTTGCTGGGGTGCCTGATGTTCCAGCTGCTTGGTGCTTTGCGTGGGGAGTTTATCTGAGCTGGGCCATGGGATGGTGAAGCAAATTCTTTGTTATCTTGGCCACACCTGATAAAAAGTGTTTGCATTCATGCCATAGAAGTCCTCAGCAGCATGTGGAAAGCCACACCTCACGTGAGCTCTAGAGAGTGACCTGCTAAGCCACTGCTGCAAAATTCCTTTAGAAAATTGTTATTTTGGTCATCCCAGCCTAGGAGGGAGTTGGCCCCATTTTGCAGGGGTGGCTGTGTCACCAAGGCTATGCCACCAAGGTTTGGCCCCTTCTGTGCAGCTCCATGTTGCCACTTGAATGCCACCTATGAACTGCTGGTTGTAGCCAGCTTTGAGCCTCTTCTAAGCCCTCTTGTCTGCACAGGGGCATTCAGAAATGAGCCCAGACCCATCACTGCTGCTTTTCAGAGAAACCAAAGTGCATCTAGCCAGAAAGTAGACAGATGCTGCATGGCAGGCACTGGCACTGTTCCCTGGTCCAAGGGGAGTGCAGTGTCAGTCACCAGCATTTTGTAGCCATCAGGGCAGAGCAAAACACGTCACTGAATCAAGCTCACATCAGTGACATCACTCACAGTGATGCATCAGTGCCACATCAGTGGCAGCATGCAGCCAGTCTGGTCTGAAGTTCTCAGGCTATGGTTATTTGCCTAGCTCAAGTCATACGTTGCCTGAGGGAGCTTCCTGTCTCCAAGCTGCTGTGTCTGTTTTCTTTTCTCCAGAAACTTCCAGTCCTGTAGTAAAAGCACGAATATTGACCTGCGTGGAAGGGATGAACGTGCTCCTGCTGGAACAAGCCATACAGGAGCAGAGGAAATACTTCAATGAGAGGCAGGAGCAGAGGGGAAACAGCACGTCCTGATAGCAGCTGAGGCCAGCCACACGCTGGTCCTTGCACTAGGATTTGCAACAAATATGTTAAAAGTAAATTAGGAGGTGTGTTCGCTGTGGTAAACAGCAAAGTCACTGAGCAGGGAAACACTTGAAGACTGTGAATCAGTGTGTACTGAGGGCTGTCCATTCCTGCCCTAGGTGTCATGACTGAAAATAGCTCTGGGAAGCAGGTTTGTTGTTTGTTTAAAAGGGTGGTTAAGGAAAGGGAACATTTGGGTTATACTGGTCCTTTTGTAATGCACAACATGAAGTCAGAAGTGTCTAAACCTAGAGTTAAGCAGTTCACCTTTGGCAGATGGGGGAAAAGGGCATTAGCACAAAGTTCATTAGCCCTGCCTGGCTGCAGGCCCATGAGTTCCTGTGTTGGGGTACCCTGACTCAGCTGCCACCCAGGGACATTCCTGGCAAAACACTCACATATCTGGGCTGACCAAAGAAACAAGAACAAAGAGTCCCTATTTCCAGTGGCACCTGCCTCTTCAGGTAGGAAGAACTGGTATCTAAGGGGAGGATTAATTCTAACTCTAAAATAAATATTTGCAGTTCTCCGAGTACTTGACTTTCTTCCTTGATACAGCTAAGTTTAAGAGACCTTAAATCACTACTTTGGAGGTATCTAAAGATTTTGATTTAAATTTTCCTAAATAAAGATGAAAAAAGAAGGCAGCCTGTTTTTCATTGATTTAATCCCTCCTTGCTAAGTCAAACATGTTAGGTCCTGCACAAACCTTATAGATGATGTAAGAGAATTCAGTTTTCCTCCTCCTCCTAAGTACTGGGTTTGTATGGAAATGTCTGGCTTTAAAAAAGTTGTGAGAAAAGGAGATGAAGTTACACCAGAGCCACTCTGGCTGATGAACATGGTGCTAGGCCTACACAGCTGTATTAAACCATTGGCAAAAGAACAGAACATTGCTAATGTCAGATGAGAATCAAATGTTTGTGCAAGGGAGAGAAGACTCTCCTATACTGTAGAAATCCCCAAATCTGGAGTGAGCTGTGCCTGTGGTTTGCAGGGGAATGCAGCCATCTCCAGCCTTTTCTGCTTGCACTCAAAAGATTTGAGCTGCTGCTTCAGCAATGGTTAAATAACCCTTTTTTAGGTCACTGTCTTGGTTTAGGGTAGATTTGGGAGAAAACTTTTGAATAGGGTCTCTCTAGAAAACAAATTCAAGCAGCCCCTCCCCTAATTGGTTTGGCAAACTTTTTTTGTGGAAAAGTGGGAAAAACTATTTAATAAGAAAAGTATCTGCAAGTATAAAAAAAAAAAGAAGAATATTAATTAATTAAACTTTTCATTGGATACACTCTGGATATCTCAGCCCTCACTCTAGAGAAGCTGTGGACCATATAGAAGAAGCTTATCAGATTAAATACTAGGAAGGTATTCCTCTAAACACTCAGGGGAAACTGAACATTTCCAAAAAGTGATGTAATAGAACTAAAAGAGAAGAAGGAAAGGGTGAAAAGTCTCATCTCCTGCTCCTCCTCTATCAAATTGGGCGCAATTACTAATAAACCCCCAAAACATGTTACTGGGACTGGGACGCAGGGTAGGGCAAAGAAACTATAAACCAAACATACTTGGCACAAACTCCAGTACTTTTATAAACTTCCTATAAATTATTAGCACCAAGCCCAGCACAGTAACTCTTCTAATCTGTGCCCCTCTACTGTAAAAGCTATGTAGGGACATATATGTTAGGGACAATATAGGAGCTATCTCTGGATAAGAAAATAAACCTAGGGACTAGAAAGGTATTTAAACCTCAAAAAAAGTTTTGGAATTAGAACTACATGAAGGCCTCCACCCTGAGAGACATTATGAATTTAAGCAACGTGGCTACTGACTGCTTTATCCTAATGTAGAGTAAGTACAACCAAAATGTAATCAGTGCAAGTTTTTTCCACTTTCTTGAGCCACACATTTGGTGCCAATAAATGTATTTGCCCTGGTTTAGGGCAAATTTGGGAGAAAACCTCTGAATGGGTTCCCTCTAGAAAACAAATTCAAGTGGCCCCTCCCCTAATTGGTTCAGGAAAAATTTATTTGGAGAAAAGTGGAAAAAACTGTTTATTTAATAAGCAAAGTATCTACAAGCATAAAAAAAGAGAATAATATTAAATAATGAAACTTTTCGCTGTTCAAAGAGATGGCAAATCCAGAAAAGTTCTTTTTATGGGGTGTAGCTTGGCTCGCTCAGTCTCTTATCAGTCCCTCCGGCACTGGAAGGTGCCCAGGCCCTGGTGAGCTATAGGAGTGAGCTCCTGGGGTTTTCCTCAGTTTTCAGTCTAGAGCAGGTTTGAACAGATCCAAGAAAAAAAGAAAAAACACAGTCTGGGGAACTTCTCTGCCTCAGCTAGCTAAAAACTACCTAAAAACAAAGGAGAGCTCTGTCCTGCTGTCTGTGATGCAGACAACAGAGTCCGGAGAAGCATGTGGGGGAGTGAGTGCTGTTTCTGAAAACAAACTGTGGCTTTTTCTTTCCCCCTTTTCTCTCTCAAAGCCAATCTTAAAGATGCAGAACTTAACATCCAACAAAACAGAACAGACAATTAGATATCATAAATCATAAATCATAAAGTCACCCCAGGACAGTCACCTAAAAGTTGGAGTCTTGTGGACCCATGCAGCTGCAATGTCCATGCCCATCCAGAGACATGGGGCCCCCAAGTCCTCCAGATTAAATTCCCTTTGCCTCTGCCTTTCCTGGCACAATACATAAGATTATTTTAATCATGTCTTCTGTCAGCTATCAAGTCAATGATTAACCTTGTCCCCCTCAAGGACATCTCCTGAAGAGCTGACCTAGCAGCATAGCCCATGTTGGGGAGGTTCAAGGGACAATTGTGCAAGACAAAATAAAAGGAGAAAAAAAAAAAACCCAACCCAAAAGACAAATAAAACCAAAACCAAGCAAAAAAACAACCCCACAAAACCCAAAACCACCTCAACAACCACAACAAAACCAAAACCAAAGCCAAAAAACCAACCCCCCCCCCCAAAAAAACCCCAAAACAACCAAAAAACCAATAAAAAAGACATGTCTTCTGGGTGTTTGCCCTCAGCATGTCCCAGGGAGCCATAATTGTGAACTAAATTACTCCACTGATGCCCAGCACTGTGCAGATGGAGAGGGAGAGTTTCCCCTGGCCCTGTGCAGTTCATGCTGCTCTTCCCCAGGCCCCAAAGTTCCTCTTTACATCAATTTTCCTCGATTTTTGTCTGTAGCCAGCAGACTGCACAACCTGGGCAGCAGAACAACCAGCCCTGGGTGGCTTCTGTGTGGTTCTGTCCACCTGAAGCTCCCCGGACACCCCGGGCCCCACCAGGCCTCCCTGTCCACTCACAGCTGCCCCAGGCGGGTCCCTGAGGGGTCCCTCAGGGCTGAGGGAGCAGCAAGGTGGGACCCAGACCCCAGCAGAGCCTCAGGGAACACTTGGGGGGCTCAAATGCTTTCCCCACATTCACCTTTTTGTTTCCCGCCTTTTTTTCTCCCCTCAGAGCGCGGTGCCAGCCGCCCCCGCTGCCATTGCCAGGCTGAGGCAGCCCCATGGAGGCCATCCAGGAGTCGTTCCAGAAGGTGGAGAAGATTGGGGAGGGCACCTATGGCGTGGTGTACAAGGCTCGCAACAAGCGCACGGGGCAGCTGGTGGCCCTCAAGAAGATCCGCCTGGACGCGTGAGTGGGGCAAAGCCCTGGTCTTGCCATGGCGCCAGGCCTATGCCCAGTATGGTGCTAGAGGCACAAAAAATCCTGATATGAGGGGGAAAAATGTGTCTCTAGGATTAAAACAATCTTAGGTATTGTGGCACCAGGAAAGGCAGAGCCAAAGGGAATGTTGTCTGGAGAGCTTGGGGGCTCCATGTCTCATGGGCATGGCAGGAAAGACTCCACACTTCCACAGGGAAGACTCCAACTTCCAGGTGTCCTAAAAATGGGCTGATTTAACCCATTGCTGAGCCAGAAGTTCAAGATCTTTGAGTGCAAGTGTTTAGGGCCTGACCCAGCACCACTTGGCCCCAGGTCCATGGCACAGGGCAGGGGGAAGCAGCTGCTATGTTGTGAGGTGGTGTCTCCCTCAGGGCTGTGCTGTGGGTGTTGGGCAGGGTCACCCTCAGCCCTCCAGGGTGGGACTGAGCAGGTAAAACCTTATTGTTGTTCCCCTGGGTGGGGCCTGAGCTGTGTGCACAGTGAGGGGTATCTGTGTGGACTGGGAGCTGATATGCTGGGGCTGCACTCCATGGTGGCCCCTCAGGGTGGGGGGAGGTAGCTGCCTGAGGGGCAAAGAGCTTTAATTTTCCCCCATCTCTGAAAAGAAAGACCTAGATATTTAATATATAACTGGTCCTCTAAATGTACCCTTAGGTGCTTCCAAACAAGCTCTGCCCCAAGGCTTGCATGTCTAGGTCATCCTCTCCTTGCCCACAACTCCATTTTCCCCTGCTTCACCCCAGCCCACCCCAGCCACTGCTCCACCCCAAACTCAAATGCTCCTTTGGTACAGTGGAAGAAGGAAGGGACTCAGAACCCCACTGGGCTGTGGGATCCCCCTGGGTTATGGAGTGCACTACAGCCTCTCTCTGCCACAGGGAGTCAGAGGGTGTCCCCAGCACTGCAATCCGAGAAATCTCACTGCTGAAGGAGCTGAAGCACCCTAACATAGTCAGGTAAGACCTGGATGCACCCTCCCCACCAGCTCATCCATGAGCTCCTGCTCCAGGAGCAGGCAGCAAGGGGTTTTTCTTTCCTTCCCCAACTGCACAGGCAGAAGCAAAATAAATGCAGGAATCCCATGCACTTCTCTCACTTTCAGCAATACTTCATGGGTCTGCCACTTCAGCAACACACTGCTGCTCCTGCCCCATACTAGATTCTGCCCTTAAACTGCCCTTCTCTTCTCCAGAGGGCCAACAGAGCATAGGCATGTGTGGGAGGAGGGATGTTTGGGTATTTACAGAGGTCTGGAGCAGATATTGAACGGAGAGCCTGTACTTCTTTTACAGGCTCCTAGATGTCATACACAGCCAGAAGAAGCTCTATATAGTGTTTGAGTATCTGAATCAGGACCTCAAGAAGTACATGGACTCATGCCAAGCTGGAGAGCTTCCTTTAAGCTTGGTCAAGGTACAGTGTGGAAGGAATGCCAACAGGCAGGGCAGACAACATATCTATCCATGTTGCCTTCTGCTGGGCAGAGCCATCTCAGAGTTGCTCAGACTGGGCCTGGAAATGATTTCTCAGCCTCCCAGATCCCAAACATTTCAGCTGGGAAGCCCTCTTGGCACTATTGCTCAGAAATGTTTCTCAGCTGTTTCTGGGCTCTCCAGCCCATCTCGATGCAGAACAAAAGAGAGATCTGTTGCTAATCGCCTCTGTAGACAGTAATGCGTGGGTGGAAGGGACTGACAGTGCCTGGATTAGAGTTTCTCTGTCCCCAGGTGGCATGGCAGCAGTTTGTGTGTATCTCTGAGTAGTGGCCCATAAGCCTGATGTTGCACTGTAACAAGGGCTTTCTTCCCATTCAAATCTCTAAGTGATCCAAAGTGTGTTGGTTCACACAATCCAGACTTCAAAGTGTTTTCATTGTGGCTTTATCTGAAATCTCTTCTCTCCTTAGAACTACCTTTTCCAGATGCTGCAGGGTGTGAGCTTCTGCCACTCACACAGGGTCATCCACAGGGACTTGAAGCCACAGAACTTGCTCATTAACGAAGCAGGAGCAATCAAGCTGGCTGATTTTGGACTGGCAAGAGCTTTTGGGGTCCCCCTACGCACATACACTCATGAGGTAGTGTCAAGGCTCCCTGAGTGGGCTACACAATCCAGAGTGGGTGAACAGCAGCAGCACAAGTTGCTCGTCCATAACAGAGGCACAGCCATGCCAGGAATAGCTTAAGGTCACCTGCAGCTAAGGGACCTCCATGTCCCCACAAGGGGTGCTGACTACCAGAGCCTGGCTGACAGCTGGGCTCCCACCCTGTGTAGAGTTCCACTCCACAACCCTGTGTAGAGTCTGGAACATTTAATAGTTCCAGAGTGTGTTATTGAAGAATGTTCTGTTAATCCCAACCTTGCAGGCACTAAAGTGTCTGTAAATTCAGCAAGGCCTTAGCATGCTCTGATTTGTACAGTCACCACATTACAACTAAGAAGGGAGGGTCCCACACCTTTGGTTTCATCCAGGGAAGCCAAACATAGCCTGTTTGTTGGTTCCGTTCCAGGTGGTGACTCTGTGGTACCGAGCCCCCGAGATACTGCTGGGATGCAGATACTACTCGACCCCTGTGGATATCTGGAGCATTGGCTGCATCTTTGCAGAAATGGTAGGATGGGTTTAATCTCTTTCATGAGCCAGAGGAGGCAGCTGCAGTGGGAAGGAGGGATGAGATAAAGAACATTTGGGATACCGTGTTCCCACCCTGTCCTGGGGTGTGCTTTATGGAAAGTCCACCCTAAGGGTTAACTGGTCCTTATCTCAGCAGGAAATCTACCACCCTGGGGGCAGAAGGCTGTGGTTCCAACTACATTGGAACATGATGCCTCTCCTTACTAAAGGGTTAACTTCAGCCTTATTGCTGCAGCATTTTGACCCGGGGAGGACATGACCCCATGGTGGGCTGCAGAGAATAAGCACTCCTGTGGCATGGCTATGGATCTCCTAGGTGTCCATATGTCCCTTGGAAGAGCTCTGGTTAGCTCTGCAGTATAATAGCACTTTGCCTCATTCCCAAGTCCCTGGGCTGCAGAGCAGGTAGGAGTGAGCTAGCCAAGAGTGGGAACAAGCAGTCAGACACCTGTGATGTTCTCAACCACTGCCTGGCAGATTCACTGCGTTGTAACTGCCCTGGTCTGTGCAGCTGTTTGCATCTGCTGGGATAGAAGGTTGCTTGCAGCAGGAAATAGGGAACACAACTGATGGAAAGATGGGAACTGGCTTTTTCTTTTCTTCCCCCAGATGACCAGGAAGGCCCTGTTTCCAGGGGACTCTGAGATTGACCAGCTCTTCCAGATCTTTCGCACCCTGGGCACTCCCACCGAGGTGACCTGGCCTGGTGTGACCCAGCTCCCTGACTACAAGGGCAGCTTTCCCCGGTGGCCAAGGAAGGAGATGAAGGACATTGTTCCAAATTTAGATCGAGATGGGAGAGACTTACTGACAGTGAGTGAGGGCTTAGAACAGGGCCTGGGCATAGACAGGATGTTTTCAAACTGGGCAAGGAATAGGGATATTTGAGATTTAATTATCCGGAAGTGTGTTAGCTGATCTGGGTTGAATGCTCACCTCTGACATTGCAGAAGCACCAAATCATGGAATACGTCCTGCTCTGAAGGACTGTCATTGCAGGTTCCTCTAGGAGACACTGCATTGGGAGTTAAGGAACTCTTCTAACATAATCCCCAAAGTAAATAAAGTTGTGGGTGACTCCTGAAGCCCAGAGAAAGAAAATTCAGGACCAACATCTGCAACTGGGCCCAGCTGTGTGCAGGTGCAATTAATCACCCAGTTTTTAAAATCCTAAATCTGTTGGGTTTTTATCTTGGCAGCAATTACTCCTGTATGATCCCAGCAAGCGCATCTCAGCCAAAGCAGCCCTCAACCATCAGTACTTCCTCTGCAGAAATGCTGGGAGCCCTGAACAGCGACCTGTGCTGTGGAGAGACTGCAGATGAGAGGAGACAGCTCTCCCCAAGCTCTTGCACCTCCAGGTAGCACTGCAGATCTGGTCTGGGGCACTTAGCAGAGGCTTGGCTGGAGCCCAGGGTCTTTGTTCTCCTGAGGAGCCTGGAAGGGGACGTTCTTGCCATTTAGAGACTTTCAGTCTGTTGTTGGGGGAAAGTTTGGGTTACAGCCAGGAGAGCTGTTTTGAAGAGGTCATATACAAAAGGTGGGGGTAATTTATCAGCATAAACTACTGAAAGGTAGAGAAGAGAGCATCTCTCTGAGGTTTATTCTTCCACGAGTGAGCTAAGGTGACACACAGTGACTTCTGTCTCCAGCACTGGAGCATCCCTGGGTCTGTTGGTGGCCGTTGCTAGCACCAGGGAAGGGGGGACGCTTTGCTGCTCAGCGCTTTGCTGCTGTTGTCAGCCAGGCTTCTCAGCACTAGACAAGCTGTTTAGGCTGAGCTGTTTAACAGAGCTGACATCCTGCTCTTTCACAAGCTGAAGAGCACTATCAGGTGTCAGTTTGTGCCTTAGCTGGGACCAAGAAGCCAAAAGATCCAGTTAGCATAAAGCAGATCCAGTTAGGATAAAACACTTGCTGCATATGGCTGGAAACAGGCAGCAGCTAAACCACTGGCTTTCCATCATCATTCCAGATGTAATGATGTTTCCTTTGCTTTATTGACTTGGAAATGTTTTTGCTGTTCAAAGGTTTGGGGGATTGTCTCTGACTCTTGGTGTGGTGTTGACATCTTAATTTCTTTTTCTTCTGTATAAAATAAATACTCGTCATTTGTTCAGAAACCTTGGTGTTATTGTTTTGGCAAAGCTCAGAAGGCTGGTGATGCAGGACAGCCTGGCTGGTCCTTTTTCCCAAAGAGCCTTTCCCCCTTTTTCATCTTCTGCACTCATCCTTTCCAGCCCAAATCCTTGGCAGGTACAGAGATGTGCTCTCAGTCCTGTTGTGGACCTGGTACCAAAAGTGTTAATCCAATTTCTGCTGTGTCTGCATGTTTTTAGCAAAGAAACAGAGTATGCAGGAGATGCTTTCTCATCAAGGACAGAGGGAAGATAAGGGGAAGACATCTGCCTTAGGAATGCAGCTATAGCCAAAACAAGATTCTAGAAAAAACAGAACCTGGGAACATGGGGAAGGTTTTATGGTAATGAACAATTATAATACACATGTGGTGACTGTATATAAGCCACATGCTTGTAGTGAATCGTGTGCACACCAGATGGAGCTTATCCCCTGTGCACCAGGCCTGTGATAACTTCTTAATGCTACCTTGGTGTTAAAGGGTTTTATTTTACTTGCTTTTTGGTGAATTTTGGTGACAGTTATTGGCCACCCAGATGGGAGCTAACCTCTGAGCCTCGACGGATCTGCAGTCGACAGATCTCCAACTGGCACCGAGGGGTTCTCGGGGAGAACCTCGGCCTCAGACCGCCAGGGGCTCGAGGCAAGATCCCTGGGGTGAGTAAAGGCATCATTTAAATTGTTTATTTGGGGTTATTGACGAGAGGTACGAATCCCCTCACAGAGTTACTGGTGAGGGGTTTGAGTCGCCCAACAGGGTTTGAGTCCCTGGGAAAGCTCACTGTGTGGGACTTCGAGTCCCCAAGGACTACTGGGGCTTCCAGTCCCTCAGGACTAGGGGATTTGAGTTCCCTCTGAGGAGTTCCCCTGAAGCAGGAAACTCAGTGTTGTAGCTGGTCAAGGAGAAAAAAATAGGTTCATAACACCAGAGCCAAAGCATTGCTGTACTTGCTTTTGTGGTGGAGTGCACTTAGATACTCTGAATTCTTTCTGGTCTCTGGCAGTGTGAGTGTGAGTGGGTTGTGTTGATTTCATTTTGCCGGCCTGCAAAATCAGCAGAGACGCCTGTGATATAAAGCTCGTTTGCTGGAAGAGTGTTGAAACTTAACTGACTGTTGGGGTTTCGAAGCAATCGGGGGTGTGTGCTATCGATTACCGATTTGTTTTCTGCGTGCGCGGCTGAAATACAATTGTGGATGCGAAGCGCCCTCTCGTGCCAGTGCGCGCAGGATTCCCGGCGCGAGTGGGAGCGGGCGGGAGGGCAGGGACACCCCCAACTGCAGCTCAGCCGTTCCCCCGCCGTCACCTTGGCTCGGGGAGGAGGAGGAGGAGGGAGAAGAAACCCAACAGACTCGCAGCACAGCAGCCCGGGCCCGGCTCGGCGTGTTCTTGCCTGCTCCAGCACCAGCCGCCTGGGCAGCGCCACCCGCCCGCTGCAGCCCAGAGCCTTGGGCTCCCCGCGCCCAGGTAATCGTTGTGTTCGCTTTCCAGCCGTTGTTATATACTTGTATTATTGAGTATGGGGGCGGTCTGTTCTAAAACTAGAGTGGGAAATGATATCCCGAACTCCCCGCTGACATGTATATTGAACCACTGGGAAAAGATAGGGGGAGACTCGCTACTTAAATCCAGACTAATCCAATATTGTAACCACTTGTGGCCACTATATAAGCTGGACAATCAAGCGAAGTGGCCAGAGAACGGCACCTTAGATTATCACACCCTGTTAGAGCTGAGGCTGTTTTGTAGAAGAGAGGGGAAGTGGAGTGAGATGCCGTACGTAGATCTGTTCTTTACTTTAAGAGACCACCTGGAATTACAAAGGGGGTGCCTACCCAGCCTATCAAACCCTCTCATGTTAGCTTTTGGAAAGGAAAGGGAAAAGGATAGGAGACCAAAGAGATCTTGTTCCTCTTGTAGTATTGGACACCACTGTTTGAAATGCCACAGCCGATGGGAAGAGGATGATGTAGAAATGCTAGAGGCACCAGGTGCGGGAGACAGGGGGATAGAGAATTGGGGTGAGCCTGATAAGGAGGAAGCACAAGGAGGGGCTGAGCAGTCAGGGGGGAGGCAAGAGTTAATTTCAAGTCCAGTGGTGGGGAGAACCCAGGGTGAGCAGGAGGTGAGAAAGCAGGAGGTAGGGAAGCAGGAGATGAGAGAGCAGGAGGTAGGGAAGCAGGAGGTGACAGAACAGGACATAGGGGAGCAGGAGATGACAGAGCAGGACATAGGGGAGCAGGAGGTGAGAGAGCAGGAGGTAGGGGAGCAGGAGGTAGGGGAGCAAGAGGTGAAAAAGCAGGAGGTAGGGGAGCAGGAGGAGAGAAAGCTGGAGGGGGATAAGCAGGAGGCCAGAGCTCAGCTCTGGGCAGGGGTGGGATCTCACAGCCTGATAGTGGTGAAGGTACCTTTCTCCCCAGTCGATCTCGAGGCGTGGATGAGACTGGCAGGGCCCTACAGAGAAGATCCAGAGAGAGTATCTAGAGTATTTGAAACCATTCTCAAGACACAGAACCCGGATTGGGGGGTTATACAAGTTCTGTTATATACTCTATTGGACTCCACAGAAAGAAAGATGGTGCTCAGGACTGCTAGGAAAGAGGTGGACAGGATAGGTACAGCAGGTGAATTACCAGGAACTCTGGAAGAGCATTTTCCCTCCCAGGACCCCTGTTGGGACCCTAACACAAAGGAGGGGAGGCTTTTTCTGGAACAATATCAACAGTGGATATTATTTGGCTTTAGACATGCAATGCCAAAGGCAATCAATTGGTCTAAACTTTATGAGGTGAAACAAGAACCTCATGAGACTCCAACTGCATTTGTGGAACGCCTAAGGGCAACTGCCAGGAGATACACTAATATTGATCCAGAAAAACCAGAGGAAGCTGTACAGCTGGCTTCCATTTTCATAGGGAACTCAGCCCCAGATATTAGAAAGAAGTTACAAAAGCTGGAGGGAGCAGAGTCTCGTGACCTAGGAGAACTCTTACAAGTGGCCTGGATAGCTTTTAATAACAGGGGAGAAGAGGAAGAAAACAAGATCCGGGAGAGAGAAAAGGAGAAGGAGCAGAAAGAAAAGAGACGGGAAATTGAATGGGAGGAGAGAAAAAAGAAATGGGAAATGGAAAGGGAGGAGAGAGAAAAGAAACGGGAGGTGGAACGAAACAGAAGAGAAAGATGTAGGGATGCAATGCTGAGCGCAGCCCTGCAGAGAGCGCTTTTTAACCGCAGGAGCGAGAGGGGCTCTGCCCGCGGGGGGCTGCAGCCGAACCAGTGCGCCTATTGCCGAGGACTTGGGCACTGGAAACGGGAATGCCCCAAAAACAGGAAAGGGCCCAAGGTAACCGAGCTAACCCTCCATCAGGAATGACGGGAACCGGGAGTGAAAACCCCAGCTAAACCCCCTGGGCTGGGGGAAAGGAGAAAATTGACTTTTTAATAGACACTGGGGCTACTTACTCGGTATTAAATACAAATCATGGAAAATTAAAACAAGAAACTGCGAACGTTGTTGGTGCAACAGGGAAGGAAGAAAAACAAACGTTATTGAACCCGATTAACTTTAAATTTGGCAAACAGTGGATAACACACCAATGTTTATATATGCCTGAATGTCCAGTTCCCCTGCTAGGAAGAGACCTGCTGTATTGCAGGCGTGGATTTTGTTTAAAGACAGAGAAATGCAATTGTTGGTATTTGAGACTAAAGCCATTGAGGCAAGGATTTTTATGTTACAGGGAATACTGTAACCAGACAATTCTGGAGGAATAGAAACAACAAAAAATGCAGTAAAACACCCTTGATTTGGATCAGTGGAACTCCAGACCATTCCAAACAAACTCAGCCTGTAAGAGTTACCCTAAAACTTGGACCAAAAACAGTAAAGCATAAAAAATATACTTTAAAATTAGTAGCTAGGAGGGGAGTCATGAGTCTAATTGAAAATTTCAGGGAATTTGGATTATTGATAGAATGTAAGCCAGAACACTCCCATTTTGCCAGTTAAAAAGCCTGAGATGAATAAGTACAGGTTGGTACTATGAGCAATCAATCAAATATTTCAGGATATCCACCCTGTTGTAGCCAATCCCTTTACCCTGTTAACATCCCTTATAGAATATCACCAATGGTTTACAGTGTTAGGTTTGAAGGATGCCTTCTTTTGCATACCTCTTGATAAGCAAAGGGCATTTTTGCCTTTGAATGGGAAAATCCTCAGACTGGTGGGAAGACTCAGCTTACCTGGACTGTGTTACCACAAGGATTTAAAAACAGTCCCATGATTTCTGGGAACCAACTAGCAAAAGAATTAGAGACCTGGAAAAAGGAGAACCCTGAAGGGCTGCAGTATGTTGGTGATATCTTACTAGCAACTGAAACTAATGAAAAGTGCATGGAACTGACTATCAGTCTTCTAAATTTCCTAGGGCAAGGAAGTTATGAAGTATTTTAAGAAAAAGCTCAAGTAATGAGGCAGCAAGTTACCTGCCTAGGGTTTGAAATGATGCCAGGACAGTGGAAATTTGGAACAGACAGAAAAGAGGCCACCTGCCAAGTAGCCTAACCTGCAATTGCCTGAGATTTAACAGTATCCCTGGCTATGGCTGGATGGTGTAGATTGTGGGTTTTAAATTATGGACTTTTGGTCAAATCATTGAGCTTCTAAAGGAGGACCTGGAAGGACTTTTGATTTTGACTCCTGAGAGTGAACACGTGTTCTGTAACCTAAAGATGGCCCTGATGTCTGCACCTGCCTTAGGACTTCCAGACTTAACAAAGCCCTTTGAGCTTTTCTGGGGAGGAATGACAGCACCTTATCCTTGGAAGGCTCCTCTGGCTCAGAAGGTAGAGACTTCAAGAGGCCTGTGGGGTGTTGTTCAAAACAACTGGGCAAAGTCAGCCAGGGATGGCTCAGATGCCTGCAAGCTGTAGCAGTGACTATTCTCATCCAGGAGGCCAAGAAATTGACTTTGGGACAAAAGATAGTAGTGTACACTTCACACACCATAACCACTGTGTTTTGCCAAAAAGGAGGGCATTGGCTTTCCCCAAGCTGTATGCTGAAATATCAGACTGTTCTAGTGGAGCAAGAGGAGGTGGAGCTGAAAGAAACCACAGTGGGAAATCCAGCCCAAGTCCTGAACATCCCAATGCAAGGAGAACAGCAGACCCTCGATCACCTGGACATAGTTGAGCAAGTTTATGTAAGCTGACCAGACCTACAAGATGCACCAGCTGAAGCTTGAAGAGTTCAAGGAAGTGGCTTGGTGCAAGATGGAGAATAGAAAGCTGGCTATGCCATAGTAATTCCAACCAAGGTGACAGAGGCTGCACCCAAACATATGGACTGACTTGAAACACTCTTTTTTATTGCTCATGCCCGTGGAACCATATGGAAGGAAAGAGGTCTATTAACAGCACAGGGATCTCTGATTAATATACACAAGAAATACTGTCCTTCCTTGATGCCACTCAGAGAAGTGTCTGTGCTAAACTGCAGGGCACACCAGTGTGGGGATTCCCATGTTCTTGTTGGAAACTGACTTGCAGATAAATCTGCACAAGAGGTTGCACAACAAGGCATCCTGGCATTAATACCTAAGAAAGCTGTTTCACTCCCAGAAGTTAGCCCTGGATATAGTTAGGCAGATGTAAAATTAGCTACTTACCTAAAAGCCCTGAACAGAGAAGGTGGATGGCTACTAACTCCCAGCAACCAGATCATAGTCCCACCACCAGTGATGTTGCAGATTGTCAAGGAGAAATACCAGCAGACTCACTGGGGAATCAGAGCTATGGTGACTGGTCCAAGGACTCAGATACCAGTGTGCCTATGACAAAAAGTGTCAAATCTCTTACAGAAAAATGCCTGATATGTCTTAAAAATAATAGTTTGAATTCAAAAAGACTGCCTCCATGGATCACTAAAAGAGGAAACACCCCCAGGGATTACTGGCAGATTGTTTTTCCTGAGTTACCACACCAACAGTGATACAGTTATCTCTTGGTATTATTTGTTGGACACCTTTTCCAGGTGGCCAGAAGTTTTCCCTTGTTGCACCAACAAGGCCAGGGAAGTCACTCCTCAAGGAGTGACCAAGGCACTCCTCAAAGAGATCATACCCAGGTTTGGAGTTCCTATTGGGATGTAATCTGATAGGGGACCCCATTTTATATCTGAAGTGTTACAGCAATTTAGTAATCAGTTGGCATTTACATAATCCATGGAGACTGCAATCTAGCAGAAGGGTTGAGTGAATGAATGAAACTTTAAAGAGACAGATTGGCAAAATGTGTCAGGAAGCTTTCTTAAAATGGCCACAGGTGTTGTGTTTGCCTATTGTGAGTTAGAGTACAGCCCCAAACCAACCTGAAAGTGAGCCAATATGAATTGGTGTTTGGGAGATCATCTGCTGCAACTTTCCCTGGATCTGAGGAGAAAATTTGGAATCAGGAAATAGAACAATATTTAAGTTTATTAGGGAAACCCTTGAAAGCACAAAAAATGGTTTGTCATTCTCTCAGAACCTCTTACCCTAGACACTCCAGTTCACTCATTTCAGCCTGGGGATCACATACACATCCAGATCTGGAAACCTGAGCCACTTCAGGAGCAGTGGAAAGGACCTTATCTGGTTCAGCTGACTACAAGACCAGCTGTGAAAGGAATTACCTCCTGGACACATTGCAGCTGAATTCAGAGGTCTCCTGACTCAGAGCAGACAGTGGAAAACACCGGAGCCTTGCAGCTGAAAATGTTGAAGACATCTGTAAATGAGCAATGAAATGTATAGACTAATATTTATGGGAATTATTTTATCTTTAGGTGGAGGTGTTGAAGAAAATTTAATATTGGCTTGAATTTGGTTTGGTAAGATGCACAATCTGTACAGTAGTACAGCCTGCCTCCCTATCCCAAATTCAGCAGGGGAACCTATTCCTTGGGAAATTATCCTTATAAATCTGTCAGTGGTGATTCATCATGATAATCTGACATTACAAACCAGAATGACCTATTGCTGGCCAAAGAGGGCTGTGAATATTTAAAATTGGATATAGAACATTGTTGTGTACACATCCCAAATGTAACAGAAGATCTCCAAAGACCACTAAACCTGGCCAGTTGCTGAGGATAGCAATGCTATCTTGAAACTAATTGGTTCAATAAAATTCTTCAAGGAACAGTGTCATGGCCCCTGAAAGGAAGGCTGGCTGGAATAGTGGAAACCATTGTAATTGTGATTGTCATTGTAATAATTATCAGCATTGCTATTGGTTGTGTTTGCAAAATGATCAGACATAATTGTATGGGAATATAGGTGACTAGAGATAGAAATTGAGTTGGAACTTATCAAATGGCCTTAAGGAATTTGAGGTGTTTCAAAAGGGGGAATTGATACCAGAAGGGTTATCCAGTTTCTGTTCTGTCTTTGTTCTTTTAGCAAAAAGAAATGGGGTATGCAGTAGCTGCTTTCTCAGCAAGGACCTATTGAATTCCTAAAACATCTGGCTTAGGAATGCAGCTACAGCCAAAACAAGACTATAAAAAAACCTGAACCTGGGAGCATGGGAAGGGTTTTATGGTAATGGGCACTTACAATATGCATGTGGTGACTGTGTATAAGCAAGGCACTTGTAGAGAATGGTGTGCACGCTGGGTGGAGCTTATTCTGTAATAAATGATGGCTCCTCTTAACACGACATTGGTGTTGAGGAGTTTTATTTTACTCGGTTTTTGGTGAATTTCAGTGGTGGAATGAGGGGCTGATGGTTCTGCAGCCCAGTGATGTCTCAGTGAGGGGTTGCCTTCCATTAGAATTTGCCACACACTATTTCAGAGTTATGTTCTACTTATTTAAATACTCAAAAGACAGATCTAATTTATGGAAGCCAAACTTCCGCACTCCTGTTTTTCTTGCACGTGCACACATGCTCTACTAGTAACTGCAATCCCAAAAAAACAATTTCAGCACAACCTGACAGCTGTGCTCCTGCATCTTATGGCCTCTGTGTGGTGACAGCCAGCTTGGAGGCACATATTTGTGGATGAATCCATGGAGACATGGATGAATTATTCTGTGGGAATCATTTCCCTGCCTTTGCATACATGTTGTAAAGTCAATGCTCCGCTGTTTGCTCTATGCAAACAATGCTCATGTTGTACCAGACAAACTGTTTGCAGAAGAGTTTCCATTTTGTTTTGTTTTTAAAAGATCTGCAGTAAAAATAAATACCAAGGACATTCATCCAGTCCAGAAACATAAATAAAACACTAGAGCAAACTTAACCCAAAACTGAAGCAACTGACTTAACTTTAAACATTTCAGTTTACCAACTCCACTGCCAGCAAAGGGAACAAACAGCAGCTGTGTGGAAATAACTGCTCTGGGAAAGCCACAGTGCAGCACCATCACCCTGTGCCAGGGAAGGGAGGAAAATCCTACCAGGCTCCCCCTGAGTGGCTCAGAACCCTGCAGACAGCCCCAGAGCCCCATGGCTGAGTGGTGCTTCCTATGGACACATCAGGGCATAACATGAGCTACTTTCTGCAGATAAGGGGCCCTTGGTAGCAAGCAAAAGGATTTTTGTGGGTGTTTTTTAGACTAAACTGCACAGCCACCTAAATCATCTCTTTACTTCACCCAACCCCAGGTAAATCCCTCCTGCCATGCAGTTTTGTTCAAATTTATTAGCTGCCTGCCTAATTACCAGGACTCCAAGTCTCGTAGTTACAGAGTACTGCCCAAACCATTAATCACCCCACAGAGCAGGGTGAGGAAGGCTGGCACCAAACTCACCTGCTGGGCTGAGCTGAGCTGCAGGAAAGGCAACAGTTCCATGCTGATGGATGCTCCTGCTTTCAGCCAGCTGAGGGGAGCAAAGCCAGGCACAGCAAGGCTGCTACCAGCAGCTCTGAAGAGCTGTGACCTGAGGTTTTCTGGGGACTGCAGGTATCCTGAGTTGTACTGTGACAGGATCCTCACCTGGACATGCTCCTGTGCTTCAAGGGCTGTTGGGCAGAGTTTCTCTCCTGGTGTGTGACAGCCCAGCTCCAGGGCCTTGCTGCTGGTCCAGACCAGCAGTGTTCTGCCAGAGGAAACGGGCTGGGAGTGGATGCTCCAGGCTGTGTGCAATTGTTTCCCTATTGTAAACCAACAAATTGCCCAGTGTTGATCATGGCAGCTAAAATGGCCACGAACAGCAGCCACAGGCCTGACAATAATCAGAGACTCTCCTGCAGAGCCTGGGACAGAGCTTGGGACAGAGCCTGGGCACATCTCAGACTGGAAACTTGTGGTTAGAGATTACTAATGCTGGGCACTTCCTACCTGCAGGAAGGTAAAGAGAGCTGAGTGTCCTGAGCCTGCCAGAGTGGGAACAGTTTCTGCCTGGAGCCCAGACTTCAAAATCCAGCTAAGCTCTATGGGAATAGAGGCTATGCTGCTGGTCTGGTGGGTGGAGAGAGGGGAAAACCTCTACTCTCATGGATTATTTTGGGTATGTTGGAGTTCCTGGATAGCATCAGCTAAAAGAGCCCTTGGGAGTGGGAAAGGAGCATCTGATATGAATAGAAAGTAATCTTCTCATCCCATAAACCCAGGAGATGCTCCACAATAGAGTAGATACTAGGGAAGAAGATCTGGGATATAAGAATTGCTTGTTTCAGGAGGGACTGAGTGGTAGAAGTTACACAGAGGAGTAACTTCCTTTTAGTTCACCTACAGAAATAGCAAGTGTGGATTTTCCAGTACTGTTGGGTGGGACTGCACCCCTTTGCACCTCTTTTAGAAGTGTCCAAATGACCAGGAAACAAAGTCCTGTTGGTTTTCAGTTTTAAAGACAAATATAACAAAATCTTTAAAACTATGAACTCATAGGCAGAAAGGCACTTTAGGAGGGTTCAGTGCTGGGAGATCAGGTAGAGCAAGAAAGAAAATCCACACAAAACCTGTGTGGATTTGGCTGCAGGGCGTGGGACTGCATGGGGGAGGAGTAGCTGTGCCTTCAGCTACAACCTGGAGAAACAACACAGCCACAGCCACTCGCTTGCTATGTTTATTGCATGCAGAATCACCCAGCTGGAAAACACTCTGGCTCTCCCCCCTTTCTGGCCATAGCCACATATAACTGCCCATGAAGTTCAGGCAGTCAACCCCTCTCTGGGCTGATTAGGGAACAGCAGCTGGGGGCTGTGGGGACCCGTCCATGGCAGGCCATCACCACGGTTTTGTCCTTGCACAGCCGAGCTGTGTTGGGAGGCAGGGAGCTAAGAGAGAAGCGTAGGCAGCCCTAAATTCTAGATGCTCCATTCCTGTGGGCCTGCTGCCTCCGTGAGGAGAGGTGTTCTGAAGGGATGAACTCCTGAAGGAACCAGCCCCAGTATGTGCCTTGGTCCATTCAGTGCCTGAACCGTGAGAGCCTGGGGGAGCGGCTGGCCTGGTGGTACCGCTGATACCCCTCCGACGCGGCCGGGAGCAGCAGGAGGTGGCTCAGAGAATCCTTCTGGCAGAGGGCCATGGCCTCCTTGTAATTTATCTTCTCTTTAGTGACAGGGTCAATGAGATCTTTTTCATAGTTGGACTCATCCTGGAGCCTATTGGCCAGGTTGCTCGTTATCATCCCAGTCTGGACAGCTTCCAGCACAGGGATGCGACCAGTTTTCTTGGGATCAATGAGCCCTCCAGTTAGGTGCTGGACTTGCAGGTAGGGGAAAGCACTGTCCTTGGTCATCCAACCCTTCTGAACTGCTTCCCCCACAGACAGCCTTCGCCTGGTCACCGGGTCCTCAATGCCTGTGAAAGCTTTCTGTGCATTCAGCAGTCTCTGCATGTAGGTCCTGTCAATCAGCCCCCGCTCAATCGCCTTGTGGACTGAGAACCGGTCCCTGGAAATGAGGTCTATGATGCCCCCCGTGGCAGCCTGGGCTTCCAGAAGCTTCTGAGCTGTCATGGGATCGAGCAGCTTCTTCGCAACAGCAGTTTTGATGTTGTACTTGGTGTTGGTGGTGGTGTCATACACCCCGGCGATGGGGGATGTGTCATCACATATGCCCTTCTGTGAGGCTGGGGGGAAGAAGGTTTGGGTTTGGTGGGTGGTGGGTGATGTGAGTGGGGATTTGGAGATGATGGAGCCAATTGAGAGGGACGAGGGAGGCTTGGTTTCCCCAGCCACCAGCAAGGCAAATTCAGAGATGGGAATCTTGCCATCCCGGTAGAGCTGGTACTCCTCCTTTGTGATCCTCCTCAGCCTTAGTGCATCATCAATGGAATACTGCTTCCCACTTTTCTTGTCAAGGAGAAGTGAGATTTCCCCATTTGGGCCCAGGGTGGTGACTTCCTCCCAGTCACACTCCAGCTCTTGCAGCTGGATGTACTGGCCTCTGTCTATGATACCTCGCTTATAGGCTTCATAAGGAGACATGTCCTTCCCTGTGTCAGGGTCCAAGATGGAGATCTTGGTGGAGAGGTTTGTCTCTCTCATCTGGGTCTCATGATTGATTTCTTCACGGTTGACCTTTGACTGGAGATCCCGAATGAACCTCTCCTTGTTGTAGATCTGGTCCTTCTCCCTAAGGATGTCTGCCTCCAGCAGGGAAACCTCATGTTCCAGCTGCTTCTTTTTCTGCCTGTCATTCTCAGTCCGCTGGCTGAGCAGTTTGGATTCCTCCCGAAGGAAGAGGACTTTCTGCTGCTTCTGCCTCTCCAGCTCCCGCAGTTCACTCTCCAGGTTGGCTCTCTCCTGGATAGCCAGGTTCCTGGCTTTCTGCAGCTCTGTCTCTTCACGAGCCCATGTCCTCTTCATGCCTTCAGCTCTCTCGATTTTCTCCCGGAGCCGCCGGACCTCTTCTTCTGCCTTTTGCTTGGCTCCCCTCTCCCTGCTCAGCAGCTCCCAGATGCGTGCACGTTCACTCTCCAGTGCTCTGTCCTTTTCCACTCGAATCACTTCCTTGTAGATGGTCTTCTCCTGGGATTTCGTTTTCTGAAGGACATCGACTTGCACCTGCAGGTTCTTGCATTCTCTCTGCAAGCTCAGCACCTCCATCTTCTCACGGTCCAGCTCCAAGCGCAGGTTGCTGGCAGACTGTTCCAGGACCGGATCCTTCTCCAGCTTGACAACTTCCTCCATAATTATTTTTTCTTGTACTGGGGCTGGGCTCTCCTCCAGCTCCTTTATTCTCAGTGTAATTTGCCTCATCTCCTTCTCCAGTGCAAGCCTCTTGCTTCGATCCTCCTGAAAGTTGAGCAGCTTCTCTTGCTCTTCCACCAGCACACGAACCTGCTGCACGTCGCGTTCCAGGCGACGCCTGTTGCTCACCTCCTCATCCAGACTGCGTCTCAGTCTGCTGTGCTCATCTCGGAGCTTTGGATCCTTTTGGGTCAGTATCACCTCTTGAACAACCACCTTCTCCTCTGGCTTCCGCCTCTCCAGCAGCATGTATTTATTCTGCAGGTCATAGATGGCATCCTCTGCAGCTCTCCTCTTCTGGGACATGTTGCGCACCTCCTGACGCAGGCGATCGGCTTCTTTTTCCAAGAGTGGATCGTTCTCATATCGAATGACTTCCTTGTTGACCAGCTTGGTTTCCACCTTGGATCTCTCCCTCCTCCATTCATCCCTTTCCCCCTGCAGCCTAATGAGCTGCTCCTGGGTCCTGCCGTTGGTGTTCACAAGTTCATTGAGCTGCTCTTTCAGCCTGTCAATTTCTCTGAGAATCTCTGGACTCTTTTCATGTTTCACCACCTCCTCTATAACCTCCTTGAATTCCACCTCCGGTTTCTGTGACCTGAGGACTTTGAGCTCTGCTAAGGCCTCTTCCACTTCACTGTCAATCTTTGTCCTTTTCAGAGTGACTTCCTGCAGCTCCCTCTTCAGGTGTGCAATCTGCTTCTCTGTTTCAGGGTCCACCAGGAAGATCTCATTGACCCTCTCTTTCACCTCTATCCTGGGCTTTTGCTTCTCTGCGATGCTGTACTGGCTCTGCAGCTCTCCCAGCTCACCTGTCAGCAGCAAGTTTTTGCTCCTCTCTTCTTCAATCAGAGTTTTAAGCTTGGAAGTCTCTTTCAGTAACTCTGGGTCCTGCTCTACCTGTTTCACCTCTTTAACAATAATTTTGGGTTCTGTTGTTTCAATCAGCCTTTCCACCTCCTCAATCTTGTTCTTCACTTTCTCTATTGCTTCTTCTGCAGACTTTCTTTTGAAGGACTCCTCATCGATTTGTAACTGCAGGGTCCTAACAGATTTCAGCATTTCTGGGTTTTTCTCCAGTTTGATGAGCTCCTTCACCACCACTTTCTCTCGGATGTTGGGCTGCTTTCGCTCCAGCATGTGCAGCTCCCTCTTATGCTGCTCAAGTTCAGAAGCAGCAGCCAAGCTTTCCTCCTGGAGACGCTTGATCTCCTGACGAAGACTGGCTGCTTGGCCATCCAGGCCTGGATCCTTCTCAATTTTTGTGATCTCTTTGGTGAGGAGCTGGGCAGGAGCCACCTTCTTCTCGCTCTCCATCTGGGCAAGCTTTCGGCTCATCATATCAATGTCTTCTTGCAGGCTCTGCCTCTTTTTGCCTTCCTCTTCAATCTGCTGTGCCATCCTAGACAGGTTGCTTTCCACCTGTGGGTCTCTGTAGTATTCAATCACCTCTTTTTCTTCTACTCTTTCAATGGGCTTCTGAGTTTTCAACATCAGCAGCTTGTTTCTGTGTTCCTCCAGGTCCTCTTCAATCCTGGCCACTTTCCTCCTTTCCTCCTCCAGCTGCAATTTCAACCCCTCAGATTCCCTGCTGGTTGTGGCTTTGTTTTCAGCTTTCTGGGTTTGCTCATGTACAGCTTCAATGCCCTCATGCACTTCCTTCTGCAAGGGAAAAAAAAATAAAAAAAGGCAGGTAAACCAAGTCACTCTTTTAAGGTGAGTCAGAGATCTTTTAAATGACACAGCATGGTGGGAGACAAAACTAGCACAGAATCCTCAGGCAGTCTTCAAATAAAGCTGTTTGTAAATGGAAAGTGAGGACACAATCCCATCATCTCCAGCAAATGATCTCCCCTTCAGATGGAGGTGCTGTAGCAGCCCACAAAGGTGCTTTGTGCTGCCTTCTTGTACCTGCAGCTGAGGGAGAGCATCACAGCCAGTCCCCAGCTTAATCTCTTGTGCTTCCTGAACACACTAAAAGTCACCTGGTCTTGAGAAAGGTGGTTCAAACCTTAAAAAGTTATAAAAATCCTATTGCTTTGAAGTGTTTCCAGAAGGTTGTGAGCACTAAATTCCAGCCACACCCACAAACAAATCTGAAATTCTCAGTCTGTGATCCTTGATTAGTTATGGCTAAGAGAAGTGGACTTAAAAACCTTAAACTTTTTTTCCAAGAATAATCTACAGCTTCAGTAAGGAGCTGAAGGCCTCCAGAGGTGATGAGAGTCACAACCCAAGATCAGAGTCAGTGAAACTATGGTTTCTTGTGGTCTTTTTCTCAGAGGGGTTTCCATTCCTGTCCTTCCTCACACCTGGATGTGGAGACTCAGGGAGGGGTGGGGGAGCCCCAGGCTGAGCAGATTTGGACCCCAATCTAGAGTACCCCAATCCTGCAGTGAGCTGTAAGCTGGTACCTTCTCAACAATCTTCTTGGCAAACTCCAGCCGGCTGAGCTGCTGTTTATTTTCTGCTGCCAGCTCCATGTAGAGCTTGGTGACATCATTTTCCTGCAAAAGAAAGAGTGGTGAGAGCCTTGTGCCCTCACCTGGACACTGCATGGCAGACTCTGCCACACCTCCTTTCACCTGGATGAGTTTTGTGTATGGCACAGTTCTAGGGATCAGTGTCATCAAATCTGCCTCTTCACAGAGACCCAGAGTCCAAGGACTCCTGCAGGAGATCCTGTCCCTGTCACCTGAATGCCTGATCGATGCCTGCAGGCCTACACAGGCTCCAGTCTTCCAAATTCACAGATGGAGAGCAGCTGGCAAAAGCCTCTGGATGATGCAGGAGGACTGGGGTGATACTGGGAAGAGCACAGAGGAGCTGTGGCTCCTTCCTCTCCCCACACACCTACCCTGTAAGTTTTATCTTCATACACAATGTGGTGAGGAGGCAACATCAGCAATCTCAACCAAGGTGCCAGGCACAATCCTAATTCAGGATTTCACATCCTGCTTTGCCCCAGGAACAAAGGGATCCCTGAGGACTCTGGACCATAATAAGTGGTGGCTGTTAAGGTGGATTAAGGCCTTGCAGAGGACATTGGGGCATGGGTAATGAGCTGGACAATGATTTCCATGCCTTCATCTTAGCATTTTACCTGGGCCTGGATGCTTTCCTGCAGGGGGGTCACACGCAGCCTCTTTGCAGCAGAGTCAGTCAGGGAAGGGTCCAGAGAAGAGCTGTACTTGCCTGCTTCAAGCTCATAGTCCTGTTCAGAGCAGACACACGAGAATCAGGTGGGATGTCTTAGGTGAAATGCTAAGGGAGTGATAAATGGGGAATCCCATCCTTACATTGAGTGTGGACTGCACGTTCTGGGACAGCCGGATCAGGGCGTTCCTCTCAGGCTCCTTGCTCTGGATCTCCTCCACCAGCCTCTGCAGGAGACACACGTGGTGTTAAGGACACACTGAAACCCAGCTTCCCAGTAATACTCTTGCAGCCTAGAGAATCAGCTCAGCTGAGGGAATGGTGGGAACAGGAGGACATTCAGGAAGAGTTTCTAGGTTTTTAGGGTATCTCAGCAGTGCTATAACTTGCCCAGGACCTCCCACACTGATTTATCACAAGGTAAATAGCAGCCAACACAGAGACCTCCACAACTCCTTGTCTGAGCTAGTGAGCTTAGACTCTGCTCAAGGAGAGAAAAATGAAGGACTTGGATGCAACATCTCAGGCTAAGGTGCAAGATTTCAGGATCTGAAAGTGGCCTCTCCATGGAGAAGATTTCAGTCTGGAGGTGAGTGGCACAGATGAGGACAGCAGCACTGTAGATAAACCCAGCAAGGTGAGATACACCAGGTAACACCATCCATGGGCTGCAGTCCTTCTCTAGTTCATTCCCTACAATGGGGGAGCACACAGCTAGGAGCTGGCTGGTACTATCTTGCATGTGCTGTTCACAAGCAAATTGCCCCATCCCTGTAAAGTTACAGGCTATTCTTGCCCTGGAGCACACCTTCTGTGCCTGCAGCTTGTATTTGATCTGGCTTGGCCCATCAGTGGTCTTCACTTGGTGCCTGGGTAGGTTGTTCATCCAGAACATCAGGTTCTCATTGGAGTTTTGGAACTGCTGGTAGGTGAGGCTGATGTTTCTGAGGGTCTTCTCTCTGCACAGCACAAAAGTGGACAGGAACATTAAGGGGAAGGGCAAAGATTAATGTGTAAGTTCCTAGGAAGGAAGGTGAAAGGTGAAAATAGCACCACAACAAAGATGAAAATAACAAAAATGAGGGGGTGACAACTGATGCCTGAGCGGGGAGCACAACTCTGGAAGCTCAAAGCCTGTGCTGTGAATGGGAAGGTGGCAACTACACAGCAGGACACATCTGGTCCTCAGTATTACAGAACTGTGGTCAGGATCAGGTCCTGCAGTGAAGAACATACTCAGGGCTCTGAGCCCTGCCCCAGTCCCCCTCAGCTAGGAGGAGCAGAGATGACCCTCACCGCTGATCCAGCTGGTCAGCCACGGCGTGGTAGCGATCGTTGAGGAGCTGCACCTCCCGCTTCTGCCGGGGCAGGTCAGGGCAGTACTCCTGGAAGTTGTTCTGCACAGCACTGCAGCTGTGCTCAGCATCCTTGAGCCCTCGGTTCAGCTTCAGCACACAGTCCTCCTGGGCCACCAGGTCCCGCCTCAACTTCTGCAGGGGAGGAAAGAAAACACCTCGTGTTTGCATCAGTCAGAGCAGCACCCAAAGACCTTCCTCAGTGTGTCACTGACTGGGCAGCACTGGGGGCTGCTCAGGCTCTCCAAGTGATGTGCAGGGTGGAAGTGGAGCACTGAGGCTTGTTCAGCAGGGAGGGTGGGAAGCAAGGTGGCTTGGACAGTGCACTGAGAAGTTTTGGGAAAGGCAAAACACTGTGGGTGCCAAGGATGGGGCAAGGAGATTGGGAGCAGGAAATACTAGGGATAGGTGTGAGGCAGAGTAACAGAGATTAGATGCTAAGGGGGTCATGATGTATTTTAGGGCCTGCAAAAGGAGGGACAGAGGGACAGAGTGTTCCACTGTCCAGTGAGAGCAGGTCAGCCTGCAACATCAACATTAAACCTTCAAGTCCTTAAAAAAACTTCATTGCTGGTGCCTCAAGGTTCTCAAATAAATCCAGCCCCTCCCACATTGCTCCCTGAGCTCAGGGATCTCCCATCCTTAGTCAGAAGCCTGGTGCTCCCCTACCTGCAGGTCATTGGCCCGATCCTGCAGGGCATTGGGGGATGCAGGAATGATGCTGTCCTGAGCCAGCTTGGCCTCAAATGTGCTGACAATCTTGTCTGTGTTCTCAATCTGAGTCTCCAGGTTCAGGGCAGCCTTAGCCCTGGGCAGGGGGGAAATGAAGAAAGGTTAGCTATAGAAACCCCATTTTTCTTTTCTCCCTTTGGTGTTCAACCTTACTTAAAATTAGAGCTTCTGCAACATGTCAGAGAACAAGCAACGTGCACTCACACCCCTGTCATGCTGCTCACAAGTCAGATATGCTGCAGTTCACCCCACAGCAGAGTTGGGACACACACCCATTGTGGTGGATTTTCTACACTGGGGGGATCTGCTCACAAATTACACACGGGATCTCCTTCAGAGGTGTCTTTGATGATGGATGGGAGGTTTCCAGCCTGGGCTGGACCTCAATCAACATTCATACAGATCAAAATCATTTTCTGTCATGCTTCTGTGTTGGCACACCTGTGCAAGGACACTTCCTTCCCTCATGCCCATCACTCACTTCTCGTTGTACAGGCTGGAGAGCATATTGACATCGTTGTATTTGCTCCTGAGGGCATTCAGCGTGACAGGGAGCTGGGAAGCCGAGGTGCTGGTGGGTTTTTTGGAAAGGTAGGTCTCACACTCCTTCTGCAAGGCATCCTTGGCTGCCCCCAGGTTCTCAAGTTTCTTTGTTGTTTCCTGGCACACCAGATGGAAGCACAGTCACCCAACACAACCATAACAGTGCTGCTGTGGAAATGTGTTTCCCTCAGGGGCAGCTTTGGCTGTGGGGCTCAGGGTGTGGTGCCCCTCTCGGAAGGAGCTGCCCCTTGGGGCACAGCCCCATCCAGACTGTGGCTGTCTGGCAGTGGCAGGGTGTGGGAAAGGGATCCACATGGACAGAGATGGAAAAAACCTTCCTGCCTGAGCCTATCCTACTGCCAGAGCCAGATAAATACCCAGAGATGAAGATGTAACAAGCTGCAATACTGCAAACCCAGACCTTGACCAGAGGAAAGGAGCAGGGCTCCAGGGCACTGCCTCTTTTCCTGTCTCACTGACATTTACAGGTCTGTACTTCCCAGCAGGTGAGACAAAGCTGCCCTTGGATGAATTCCCTTTATCCCTTAGTCCCTTTGTTACAGACTGGAGAGTGTAGGGTGACAGCATTCCCAAGACTGGCACCTGCACCACAGCTCTGAAAGGGATGGACCCTCTTGCTCCAGAGGCGAGGGAAGGGCCTGCATTTCCTGAGGCTTTCATTTAGTCCTATTTCAAGGGTTCAAGCCAGCCTGAAACCCTCACATCTGCTCCAAGGTTTTCTCCTTTGGAGCATCAGCTGTGTGTTATTTCCACATTCCTGCTCTGGGCCAAGGACACGGCCCTACCAAACTGCTCCTGCTCCAACTCACCTGCTGCTGTTTGATCCTCCTGCCAAGGTCATCTGTAGGGTCACTGTAGTTCACAGGAGACCTCACTCGGTTCAGGACCTCCTTCTCCACCTGGACCAGGTCCTTGCCAATGCGATCCAGGCTGCTGAGGAGCTGGTCAGCTTTGGGATCATCCTGGACTGCTGGAGGGCTCTTGGACAGAGCTGCAGAGAGACACAGCTTAGGTTAATCCCCAGGTTTTAGCTGTGCCATGGTGAGCCACAGCTCCAAAGGAGGGACAAAGCCAAATGCAGACACATCCCTTCTCAGCTTTCCTGGGAGCCTTTGAACTACAGCTGTGGGAATAACACAGATAACCCAGGGTTGGGATTTAGCCGTGGCTGCCTGCTCATCCCACAGCCCCCAGCTAGGGAAGAGAACTGCAAGGGACTCAGATTACAAAGCAGGTTTAATTAAAGTTTCTGGATAGGCACATCCCCCTGAAATCCTAAATACCCTCCAGCTGTTGATGGAGCTGGAGGTCAATCTCAGAGGCTTGAGAAGGGCAGCAGACTTAGTGAATTGCTGAGACAGGAGTCAGGCTGTCCTGCCAGCTGTTCTTTGCCATAGTGGAGAAGGCATCCTCCACAGGGACCTCTGCAGGTGTCTGTGTGTGAGCTGCAGGTGCCTCTGCCCACCCTGGGTGGGTTCTCTGTTTCCAGAGCTGCCTCCAGAGAGGGCTGGACTATCCAGGTGACAAACCTTGCTGGCTGGGCTGCACCTGCTCCTTTTGGCTGCGTCTCAGGGTGCTCTGAACCGCTGCTCGCTTCTGCTTCACTGTGCTCAGTTCCCCTTCCAACCTGTGAGCAGAGGGGCATCATCAGCCAGGAAGGGACACAGCACTGACAGAGCCCTGCACAGCATCAGCTCCATGGCTGTGCTGGGGAGGTGTCCCCAAAGGCAAGGGAAGGTGTCCTCAGTGGCTGGGAGCCTGCAGCCTGTTGTAACTCAGAGATGTCCCTTAGGAAAGGAAACAGCAGCAAGAAAAGCTGGTTGGTTTGAGCAGCTGAGTTCTCCCAAGGAAGCCAGTGTTTCCCACTCTCAGCAGAAGCCACCAAAGCTGGAAATGAATTTCATATGGTTGTGGTGCTTTGCAGGAAACACAAGTGGCTGCTTCTGTGGCTGCTGCACTGGAAGTGCCACATCCCACTTGTAAGGATGGTTCCTGCCTAATGCAACTAGGGCTGGGATCTGCCAGAGCCTGAAGGACCAAAAAATATTTCTGGGTGGGAAAAGACTTTTGGAACCAGAAGGAGGGGGAACAGGAAGGACCAGGCTGGTTCTCATCCCTGCTGTGGATTGTTCCAGTCAAACGCTGTGTGTTAAAACCAGCAATTCCCAGCTTGCCTGGCTGCTGTCAGATGAGGGCTGTCCCTCTGTGCAGAGGAACTGAATTTCTGTTTTAAAACACTAATGAAACCCATAAATCCTGGGATGTGTGAAGAGGGTTACACACTGAGAGCACGATGAAGCAATCACACCCCATGGCACTGGGGACCCAAGCTCCCACTTTGGGCATTCCTGCATAGCTCTGAGTCTGGGCTGCAGCTTTTCCTCAGCACTTGAGCAGCTCTGATTTACCCAAACACCCGGGGCCATGATTAAAAAGGCAGTGCCAACCTCCCTGCACCACCGCCCCATCCTGTGGGAACATCAGGAGCTGACGGAGCAGGCAGGCAGCAAACCCACACACAGGCTCAAGGAGCATTGCTCAGTCTCCAGCTGGGGCTGGCTGAGAGGAGATACCACAGATAACTCTGTCCTGTTTGGCAAGTCCCAAGTTCCAGACTGATTCTACAATGAATTTAGTCAAACCTATGCGGATCACATGTTGGGGTGAAGAAATCAAGCCTGACTGCCAGAAAACTCATCGACAGTGAGGTCTGTGAAGTGTGCAGGGGTGTTGAGGAATGGCAGGCACCTGGATGAAATACCTGGGTGCAGGGAAAAATCCCTCTCCAGGAGGGATTTAGTATGAGATAGTCGAGAGGCCTGTCACCAGCTGCTGTTTCTCTGCAGTCAGGCTGGTTAAGACCCAAGAGAGTCTAAATGTCTCTCTGGGTCAGGGTCTCTGCTGCAGACTCACCTGTTGACCTTGTCTATGGACTCAGGGTCAGGAGGAGGGATGGAGAAACAAGCAGAAGGTGCCTCCTGGACCACTCCAGTGCTGCTCTGAACCACCCACATCTCTGGGTTGCTGTTGTCCTTCAGAGTGTACTTGTCCCCTCTGGTCAGCTGCACCTGGACAGGACACAAAACCCAGGGAAAGGCTTGAAAGACAGGTCCTCACACCATGGGGCCAAGATCTGGAGCAAACAGAGAAGAATGCAGCCCTCTGTCCCTTCTGAGGGTGCTGCTAGTCCGGCCCTCACCTCCCCAGCATCCCAGTCACAGAGGGTGTCCAGGGTGAGGGGCTGAGGGGGACGTGTCCTGCGCAGTTTCAGTGGGCTGATCTCTTTGCTCCTTCTCTTCAGGTCAGTGATGCTCTTCTCTGCCTGCTTCAACACCTTCTCCTCGTTCTAGACAAAACAGAGTAGTCGTGACCAGGTTTGGGTAAGGAAGGGTAGGGTCACACTACAGCAGGTATGCTGGGACCAATTATCTGTCCTTGTGGGCTGGAGTCAGATTCTCCATTCTCAACCCCTCCATTCTCCTTCTTCCCCTTCCCATTGCCAGCACCATCCTCAGTTTCCTTTGCTCACAGATCTGCTGTTGAGGACACAGCCTGGGTTAACCTTAGGTGAACCCACACTTTCATATCAGATATCCTGAAGAAGTTTTCCTTTTCAGAAATGGAACACCTGCCAAGGGTGGCTGCATTCCAGTGTCAGAAAGTGCCAAGATTCCAGCATCTCTTGAGAGCAAAGTGTGTTGCATACTTGGGAAGATACCATGGTGAACGTGTCTCCTCCCTCTCTCCAGGGCAAATTTTCCTTTCCTATCTGCATCTCACCCCTGAGGTCAGATTTCTTTATTCCCTCCCTTGCCCTTGGCTCATGAGAGTGCTGAGGAGATGGGAGGATCTCGGATGCCAGTGGTTCACACTCTGCAGGCCCTCTAATCCAAGTGTTTTATGTTGGGGACAACAAATGGCTTCTCCCTGCACTTCTCCTTTACTCTGCTGATGCCTTGGGGCCTGGCTGTGTGTCACTGATGGGGACAGTGCCATCTCAGGGCAGTGTGAGCAGTGTGGATCTTCTGGGCTTCCCCCTCCCCAGCACAGAGCTGGGGTGAGCTATCCCTGTAGGATTATTCACCCACCTCTTCCCCTTCCCCTCTGTCATTTATTGGGGAGTTTTAAACTTTGGATTTGCCCTGAGGTCTGGCTGGTGCCACCAGCCCTGAAGGCCTCACCTCCAGCTGAAGCAGCAGATCTGACACCACCCCAGGGCTGTCTTTGTTGAACTTGCTGTATTTGGTGTCCAGGTCAGAGCTCATCTTCTTCAGGGAGCGGCTCACAGCCTCAGCATCATCCTGGAACTGGAGGTTTGGGTGGGGAAACAGTCAGGCATGGGGGGACATTACTGTCTCCAGGTCCAGTGGGGTCTCTCAGTTCCCAGCACCTCTAAAAGATTATATTTTGAGGGGTGTTTCCCCAAAATACCTTTACTAGGTGCAAGCAAAGGGTCTCCCATCCTCACCCCTTTGCTGTCTCCTGCCACTCGTTCTTCAAAGCTTCCTGGTGAGCCTGTGGTAGGGCAGAGCACATCTCAGTGGGTTCCAGTTGGTCCTGCCTCCCCCACCACAGGTCTCCTGTCCTCACAAGTCCCAGAGATCAGAGGAGAAGCAGAGACAAATCTGTGTCCAGGCAGTGCCTGGTGCTGAGCCTGGGTGAGGACACCCCTTGAGAAGGACCTGGCTCACACACAGCAGCCATCACTTCTCAAGTGGTCTCATCTCCAGTGGTGTTGGGGGCTGAGAGCCCACCTTAGCCTGGCACTGCATCTGCAGGCTTGGAAATACAGCCTTGGAGGCTGGGAGCTGCTTTCCCTTGGGAGAACTCACACCAAAGCTGGAACTTCCTAAGTATGAGGGTGGCTGTACTGATGTGTGTGAGCACTAGAGCAGGAGCTGGTCCCAGCACACAGATCTTGGCCACTATCTCCTGGAAATTTTGGCAAGGGTGAAGACCCTGGACTTCCCTCAGCTTCCCTGCAGGCCTGGAGCAGGCAGAAAGATGCTACAGTGCAGCCAGTGCAGTGTGGAAGGAAAGAGTAACATAACTGCAGGGAGAGGTGAAGGGGTCTCCTCTGACCCACCACCTGCAGCACAGAAACACTCTCATTCTCCCACAGGGCTGAGGAACAGATCCCCTCTCCCTACCTGGATAGGTTTGATGGCTGGGTGCTTCAGCTCAATCATCCTGTCCCCATCATCCTGAAGGTGGTTCACAAACTCCTCCTGGCTGAGCAGCTCATTGGACTTGAAATCCTGGAGGGGAAAAGAAACTTTCTGACCTTGGGAGCATGCAAGGAGCACAGAATGGCCTCCTGGGACAGCAAACATAACAGAGATAAGGCTCCCAAAGCACAGACAGCCTTGTTTGTTTGTTTGTTATAACAGAAGGGGATAGGCAGAGCTAAAACAAATTAGACACACTTGGGCCTCAGAAAGCATCAGGGCATTCATTCAAAGAGCATTTTCCCAAGCAATTATCCCTCTCATTGTCTGTGTCCCAGCACATGGCAGTCACTGGAGGTTGTACTGTGGCCATGGAGGCTGATGTGGCACTGAGCCCTTCCCTTCTCTCTGACCATGGAAAGCCTCCCTGGCAGCTCTCCAGAGTATGATCCCACGTGCCAGCTCAGGGGACTGGAGGGGTCACAGAGGGTCCCAGGGGCTCACTTCCCCCTCTGTTTTGGAAAGCCTCATGCTCAGGGCTGGCGTTGGAGGTGCAGGAGGCTGGGATGCACCCTGCAGAACCAGGCTTAGCCAGTCTTTCGTGGCCAGGACATGCCGGCACCCCCAAGGGCTCACCTCGTACTCCCGACGCACGCTCTGCACATCCATCATTTGGTCACTCCAGTCCTGCTTCAGGATCTTGGTCTGCTGCTCCGTCAGGTAGCCCAGCTCCTTGGTGCAGCCCTGGAGGTGGTGGTAGAGGCTGCCAAGGCTCTGCCCTCGCCAGATGGAAGCTTTCTGCCCACACACAGGACAGAGACAGTGTCAGTGCTCAGCCTGAGGAGTCCCATTCCCCTCCTCCTCTTCCTCCCCAGGACCACAGTCCTGTTACACATCCAGCAGGAGATTCCCAGCAACCTTGGTGAGAAATCTGCCACCACTGGCTCTTATCTGATGGGGCTGCTGTTCTCTTTCCCTCCTCACAGACAAGGTATGTTTGTCTAACCAGAATCCCAGGTGTGGGCTGGTGCCTGGGGCAGTCTCAGAGATGAGATTTCTCACAAATCCCATTTTCAGCATCAACCTTCACGGGCCCAGCTGGGTAAACCCAGAACCTTCTTCCTGGCCACCTCCTTTGCTCTGGCTGCTCATTTCCTCTCTGGAGCCCTTGTTAGGGATCAGGGAAAGCTCCACATTTGCAATCCTGATTTGGATTGTGTGTGGGCTGGGCTGGATTTCCTGCTGCCCTCTGGTCCCTGTGCTCACAGAGGAAACTGCAGATCCATGACCCATGGAGAGGAGAGACATGGATCTCACCCTCAGCATTGCCCTGAGGACAGCAGGAGTTCTTTCAATTTATGTCTATCCCAAGGAGGGAAGGAAACAGGGAAATGATATGAGGGACACAACTTTACTGTGCAAGCCCAGGGGCAGCTCCTGTTCTGAACTGGGCGTTTCCTGCCCATCAGGGATGGTGTTACTCTGCTGTAAGACCCCATCTGCTCAGAAAAACACCAAGAACCTTACCAGCAAGTCCTTGTACTGGCTTTTTAAATCTGCCACATCCTGGATTACAACACAGTCAAGACCAAGGAGTTGAACAACAACAACAACAAAAGAAAAAAAAAAAAGAAAAGCTATTAGCAAAACATGTGGTGAATGCTGATGAACTCATTTATGGAATGTGCTTTAGAAACCATCCAGGAGCCACCTCCCTGGCCCCCCATGGCTCTGCAGAACAAGGGTGGACATTCACTGTGAGAGGAGCAGATGGGACACCCAGCCAGACAATGAGCAGAGCCAGCAGGGTCCCCCGTGGGTGGCAGCAGCAAGGAGGGGACAGAGGGTTCCTTACCCCGGAGCGGAGGTTCTTGATCTGGAGCCCGTAGGCTTCGATCTCCTTCTGGAGGATGTTGTGCTCAGCTATTTGCTTTTCCAGCTCTGACATGCCGGGGCCGTACTGTCCTGCATTGACTTGTTTCTGTGCAAAAGGAGTCAGGGCACACACTAAAGCAAAAGGCTTCATTTCAGGGGGAAACCCCAGGCACTGCTGGCAGGGTTCTGGTATCTGATAGAGGTCCAGGAGGAAGGGAGGGGATTTTTTTTTTGTTTCCCATTATTGCTGTTGGTTGCTATTTCCTCAGTCGTATACGGGGGCAAAGATAACCAGACCACATAACCCTGGGCTGCAGACCTGAGCTGAGCCAGCCCCCTGCCCATGGTGACATGCATGGGACACACTTAATTACCATTCAGCTTTCAGGGGAATCCAAATTGGCTCCAATCTGGGCACTCCATATACCCAAACCTTGCAGAGTGAAACCCTGAAAGGTAGGGCTGTAAAATCCTAGGAGACATCACCTTCTCCATCCCACAGCAGGACTCTCTACCTGATCCTCCTCTGGTCACTCTTAATCTGAAGAGGTGAATTCAGAGGGTGCTCCAGAGGGTTTTAAGAGGAAGGAGAGTCTGTCCTCCACCCAGAGCCACTGAGTTATTCCCACCAGCTCCAACACGCCTTATGCTGTGCAATGGCTGGCTACAGACAACAGCAAACATTATCTGGCCTGGCAGGAGATGGGAGAAAGCATCCAAACCCTGCTGCTGTTACCATCTTTTGGTCCAGGATCCTGGTCCAGTCCACCCTGGGCCCCACCTCGGGGATGTTCAGCTGCTCGTAGAGGGCCCGGTACTCCGCACAGAGCTGTGTCACACGGTCATGGAGCTGCTGGATGCTGCCAAGGGGAAAGGCACCGGTCCCTGGGTCACTCAGGAAGCAGGAGAAACAAGGTGGGCCTCGTGGAGCCCAAATTTCACTCACAAGACCCAGGGTATTTTGCTGTCCCATTGTGGCACTGGCCTCCTTCAGCAATGCCCAGCACTTGTCCTGCTGCTCTCCAGCTTCAGGGATGTCTCAGGAATTCCTACCCAGGAGGATGCTGCAGGGAGACCAGTTCCCTTCCCAACTAGGAAACTTCCCTCCTGATTGCTACACAGAAGTGCTGGAAGTGAAGGGGATCAAAGCACCAGAAGCCAGCTGAAGCTCTTCTCCCACCCCAACACCTCTGTCTCTGTGCTTGCCCAAATTAAAGGTGTTTATTTTAGGGAAGGCAGAGGAAAAGGGGATTTGCCCTGAGAGTGGTGCCACATTTTAGCTCTGCATTTTTCTGGTACCTTTTATAAGGGCTCCCAAAAGATGGGGCCTCTTGGGAAATTGCTCTGGCATCCACTCTGCATACCAGTGTATTTATAATAAATTGGCAGAAAAGATGATTTTAAGGCTAAACTCTGTGGGAAAAGAGTGAAACTACCACTCATGGCAAGGACTGAAGTTCATTCTATGTCCTGAGGAGGTTCCCAATTGCTCAGTGCCCTCATCACACTAGTCCCTCCACTGTACTCACTCTTTCTCTATCTCAGGAGCCTGTGGGTGTTTCAGCCTCTTGGCACGGTCCACATCCAGGAAGAGATCCTTCAGCAGGGTCTCAGCTTCCTTCAGGTTCCTGGCATTCTCTGTCTGGTACTCAAAAGCTTTGTTCTTCTGGTGATTGCTGGAGTCCTGAAGGCCATGGAGACAGAGGAAAAAGCCTGATTGGATCACACAGACCTCACAACACTTTCCTTGGCCAACACAGAGGCTCTGGATGCTGCACACAACAACCACAGAGGAGCCTTGGTGCCCAGCCCAGCCTCCTGCTCCAGCTCCCTCCCTCCCAGGGGCTTTGTGTGCCAGGCTGGCAGCCTGTGGGGCTGCTGGAGGGCACAGGGCTGTGCTGCCACAGGTGAGGCAGCCTGGGCTGTGCAAAGCCTGAGGCATTGAGCAGAAAGAATCTGGGAGGCTTTGGGATGCAGCCCCAGGGGTTGGGAGGCTCTGTCGGGTGTTTGTTCCTCCCCAGCCTCGAGTCAGCCCCCAAACCTGCACCAGCTTGCACAGAGCAGACACCTGCCCTGCTGTCCTAGACACTGCAAAGCCTTTCACCTCCCACCACCCCCTGCCACAGCTGACCTGCTTGAGTCTGGACTGAGTCTCCAGGATGTCCTTCTCCACCTGGTCAGCATTTGTCTGCATGCGGGAGATGAGCACGGCCAGCTCGTTTGTGGAGGACCTGAGAGAGGGAACAGCAAAGATGGGTGGGGTAAAGCAAAGCTCACTCCATCACTGCCCAGGACCTGCCCCAGGCCTGCTCCTTCAACCCTTTCCCCCACGTCCACTGGGTCTCTCAAGAAGAGTCTGAGCTCTGGCCAAGGGTCACACGCAAGTGGTCAGTGCCTGGCTGCTGCCCTCAGCCAGGAGAAGGCCAGAGCTGCTGTGTTCAGAGTGAGCACTGCTGGGATTTTGCACAAACCCAGCACACCTGCACAACTCCTTGCTGCAGATGCTCAAATTTGTGTGGATTAAAAAAAAAAACATCAACGTGGGGGGAATAGCAGGAAAAAAAATAAAGGGGGAAAAACCTGCTGTAGGATTCTCAAATGCACCGCCACCACATCTGGGATGGGAAGACCCAAAGCCACAGATGGCTGGGGGCCAGGGGAGCACCCTGCAGAGGCAGCACAACGTGCTCACCCTGTTTGGAGCTGTTTCCCTGGGTGCCTGCCCTTGGCTGCTGACACAGGTGGCCCTTCAGCCCTGCCCAGAGCTGCCACCCTGTTCCCTGTGAGGCTCTCCAGGCTGGGCCCAGTGAGACACTGGCGAGCCCAGTGGCACCCCCCGAGACTGGGCTGCAGGGGACAAGGACTTGCTATGCAGACCACAAGCCCCTCTGGGTGCTGCAGGCTGTTGTGGTGTTTTCAGAGCTCGGGGAACAGCATAAAGCTGAGTCAGGGCAGGTTTAGGCTGGATATCAGGAAAAGGTTTTGTACCCACAGGGTGCTCAGGCACTGGACGGGCTCCCAGGGAAGTGGTCACAGCACTGAGCCTGTCTGAGCTCAGGGGGTGTTTGGACAATGCTCTCAGCACATGGTGGGATTCTTGGCGTCAGGAGTTGGACTCGATGATCCTGATCAGTCCCTTCCAACTCAGGATATCCTGTGATTCCAAGACTCCAATTTCCCAAGGCCACAGCACACCTACCAGCCCTCCTCACCCCGGTGAGGCTTCACTGAAGGTCCCCAACAGCCACCATTGCTGCCACCACAATGTGGCAGACCCTCGGTGCCACCACACAACCAACAGTGCCATCACAGCCCTAATCCCACCACCACCCTTGGGAATGAGCACCCCTGCAGGAACAGCTGGATCCAAAGCCTGCAGCCAGGCTTGGGATGGTTCCCAACACTCCCTGCAGACAAGGAAGCACAAACCTCACTGCCACCTTTGTCCCCGTGTCCTGCTGCTTCTAACAGCATCTGCCCTGAGGACAGTGCTGGCCCTACCCTGCAGGCAGGGAGAGCACAGCCCTGCCAGGATGTGGGCAGGGGCAGGAGGGTGTGGAGTGATGGCATCACGCAGGGATGGAGCCCTCGGAATGCTGCTGAGGGGACAAAGTTCAGCAGAGGCTGAGTGCTGGGATCTGAGACCAGGAGGAGAGAGTTTGAGCAGCAGCAATGGGACATCACTGAGGGTCAGCTGGAGTGGGGGGACACTTCTTCAGGGCAGCTTGGTACGTCTTGGTGGGAGAAGAAGGTAAGAGAAAGGTGATGTCCTGCAGCAGAGCCACCACATGCTTTCCTTCCAAGCCCCTGAATCCACAAAGGACAGGGGAAAATGATTCCCTTAATGGCTCTATCATTGCTCCAGCTCCTACTCGTGGCTCCAGCTGTTCCACAGTTCCAAAGGCTGGAACAGATGCTGGGATGTTCATTTATTACAGCCCCAAGTGACTGTAACGTGCCAGGGAGTGCTACAGTCACCCCGAGCCAAGCACTGGGGTGCCACAGCTCCTGTTTGAAGTGAGCTCAGCCCGTGTGGCTCCAGAGGAGGCACAGCCCCAGAGCTCCTGCTCACAGCATCCTCCATCCCCTTTCCTCAGCTCCTCCCTTGTTTTTCATTTCCCAAGCGTGGGCCTGCAGCTCTCAGCTGTCCCGGAGGTTTGGGGCTGGCAGATCCTCTGGCCATGCCTCAGCTTCCCTGCCTGGAATGCTCCTCAGCAGAGTGAAAGGAGCTGCTGTGCTCGACAGGGTCTAACTCCAGGGATTGTGGAGCCCAAGAGCCCAAAGCAGCGCATCCATCACCATCATTCCCTGCTACAACCTGTGTTTTCTACCCCGTTAATCATCTCTCCTCCTCCATCCTTGCCCTTTCCCGGTGTGAGCTGCAGCGCTCAGGGAGATGCAGCACAGGCTGGAGGGAGCAGCCCAGCAGGCTGGAGCTCTCAGAGGTCCCCCCTCCCCAGGAGGTTACACAATCTCCCACTCATCCCTGACACGCCTGGAATGAGGTGGTGTCCCACGAGCAAATACTTGAGCACCACCCAGATTTCCTGCCCGGGCTCCCTGCGCAGGGAGGAGAATGTGAGTCACGGCTGGGCTGGGCTGGCCCGGGGGACCAGCAGCATCCTCCCCCCAGGGCCGGCTGAACTCTACACAGCCTGGATGGGGAGTCCTGTTTGAGCCCATCCCAGTTTGTCATGTGGCTGTGGATAACTCTCTGCTGCTCTGAGAGGGGAGAAGTGAGGATCCATCCTTCCCAGGAATGGTAGATCACCAACAAAACCCTGTTTATTCCTGCTGGCACTCCCTTCCTGGTTGAAGGAAACACCGGGGCACTCCATCCCTTAGTTCCTGAGGCTGGGCACAGGAATCTGCTTTGTTTAGGCTGAGCCACAACAAAACTAAGAACTGAGAAGATGTCAGCAGCCTCCTGGTCACGGGGACTCAGCCCATCCCAGCCTGTGCTGCACAGGGCACCCGAGCTTGGATGCTGCTGCAAACAGCCCGGTTTTCAGGGAAGCAGGGATGGTTCCTGGAGAACATCACCTCAGGAGCAGCAGGGGTGTGCTGAGAGGAGCCTGTGCAAACCCCCACCCACACAGCCCGTGGTGACAGGGATCACTGTCCCTTCTCGGGGTGTCCCCCTGCCCATCCCTGCCCCATCCCTGCTGCCCCTGGGCAGGAGCTCTCACTCAGCCAGAGCTGGGCCCTGCATTTCAGGGTGAACACGCTGACATTTGGGCTGCAGAGAGGCAGTCTGGCATCAGGTGGGATGCAGGCAGCCATGAGCTCATGTTGGACACCCCTGCCCCTGAAACTCGGGTCCAGCTCCACACACAGAGCATGGTGCAGCCACAGCCCCAGGATGGCTGAGGGCAAGGCTGGGCAAAGCTCCTCCTGCTCCTCCTCAGCAGCCAGGGCAGCCTCCTCCCTAGGGCTATCTCATGCCTAGGAGAGGCACAGCACTATTATTATCATTATTAATTGGTTCATTTCTCCTACCACTTTCTGCCTCCTGGACAGTCCAGCTGCACACAAGGGACGCTGTCTCACAGCAACAGGACTGTCCCCCACTCCTGGTCACTCCTGCCAGGGCACTTTGGGCAGGAGCTCAGCACCACCCACTGCAGTCTCTGACCCCTCTCCTGAGTCCCCTCCTCACGGGACTTTTCTTTATGGCCACAGGGCCCAAAGCTGGGTCTGTTCTCCCCGACACACACAGAAGTCCTGGCACATTTTGATTTGCCAGCAGATGCCAGCAGACCACCACTGACCCCCTGCCTGTCCCCAGGGTCACACTGCTCCAGACTGACTGGGGAGAAGCAGAGGGTGGTGGTGGAAAAAGCAGCAATCCCAGGAGACACTTAAATCCCAGGAGATGACTTGCCATCCACCTCCCAAACCACCCACAACCTTTGTCAAAATCACACCCAGGCACAGCCAGTCCGGCCAGATCCAGTTCAATTCCACCTTCTCAGGAGTTTTCCCTTTCAGCCCTGCAGTGCCTTCACCTAGAGCAGGGCACTTCCAGGATGCTCCTCGGGTACAACCTGTGCTGGCTGATGCCTCTCTGGGATGCACCCACCAAGGGGAGACAGCAAAGAGCCCTGAGAGCTGGGATCAGGACCTGTGGGGTTAATCAGGAACCCCAGAGACAGGTTCTGCTGAGGCTCTGGCCTTGGGGCCACCAAGAGCAGCTGTGAGCCACCAACATTTTCTTGGGGCCATCTAGAGAGCGTGTGCTTGTGGCTGTTCCTGAGACAACTCATCCACATTCATTTTCTCAGCTACTGTGGGCACTGACCAAGCCCCAGGCCATGGCCAAGAGAATTAGGCTGTGTCTGATGGTTGGTGCCTCCTCAAACAAGCACAACTAGCTCAGTAATTGCTGTGCTCCTGGCTCCAGCCTCCATCCTGCACGGGGAAGAGGAGTGGGGTCTTGCTGGGATGCAGCTCCAGTTAATCTGAGAGGTTCATGCCGGGGGAGAGCTGCCCAAACCCTCTGTAGGATCCTGAGAAATCCCCAGCCTGCTCTGGGATCTGGCTGGGAAGGTGGAGAGATTGCATTAGTAAGGCTGAATAAACCAGAGCCTGACACAGCTCCTGGGCTGCTGGGGAGGTGCCTCACTGCAGCCAGGCCCCAGGCAAAGCTCGGTGTTCAGAGAGCCCCCAGACCTGCCTTTGAGATGGGTTTGTGCGTGCTCAGCTCCACTGAAGCTTCCCATGGCAGGGGTCCAGCTCCAGGTCCTGCTCCCTGGGCAGCCCCAACCTTTGTGGGGTCACCTTGTCCCCAGGCCCCGCTGCCCTGCCCAGCCACCCCCTCCTCAGTGGCTGTTGGCTGACCTGGGTTTGGGTTTGGCCCCCAAAACAGCACATCTGGGGGCCAGCACCGTGCTGTGAGCACACAGGTGTCCACACAGACAAACACTGTCCTGGACTGCCCAGGAGATGTGGCCAGCACCCCCTTCACCGTGCATGTCCCCTTCTCCTCAGCACAACCTCCCTGGAAACTTCCTCAGCTTCCAACCACAGCAGGGCAGGGACTTCCCATGGAATCAACCAATATGCAAAATTGCTGAGGAAGGTGGAAAATAATCCTGAGTTAACAACAGCAGCTGGAGGGAGGGATGGTCTCCCTGCAGGAGCTCTCCCTCCCAGAGGACTCCCTGATCCTAGGGAAGCATCACACATCTCATTCCCTCAGAACTGATCTCTCCGTAGAATCACAGCCTGGTTTGGGCTGGAAGGGACCTTAAAGGCACTCAGTTCCAAGCCCCTGCCATGGGCAGGAACACCTTCCACCAGAGCAGGTTGTTCCAAGCAGGTCTGAAAGAGGCAAACTCAGCGATTCGAGCTGCAGAGACCCGGCCTGTCCCAGCAAACCCATCCTCACCCTCCTCCACCAGCTGAGGAGCAGCAGCACACTGAGCATCCTTCTCCAGGGATCCCAGGGCAGCATCACACCAGCCTCACACAGCCAGGGAATCCCAGGATCTCAGAGCCAGGCTGGGACCTGCTTCACCATGGAGCAGACCCCGCTCCACCCAAGCACAGAGGCTGCTTTTACCCAGCTCCTACCTGCCCAAAAGGGGCTTTTTGCACCTCCCTGCTCAATGACCACAGCTCTGAGCACATCCCAGGGGCTGCAGGACACTTTGGGAAGGAACACAAAGCCCACAGGAGACAAGGACATGTGCCAGGCAGCACATTCTGGTATCTGCTCCCAGCAAACCCCAACCTCCTGCTGCTCCACAGAGGGATGGCACTTAGGGTAGCTCAAAAAACTGGATCACCCATCCCTTGTCCTCCCCCAGGGTCTCACAGCTCAGACAGAGGAGAGGGCTCACACTTACTTGCTCGGTTTGACAGGGGAACCTCTGCTGGGGGAACTTCTGCTCGGGGAGCCTTTGCCCACCCCCTTGAACATGTTGGCCAGGTCCCAGCTGGTGTCCCGGGCTCTGCAGGCTCGTGGTGGGCTCTGGCTCCTGCTCCCTGCTGCAGTCTGTCGGGATGGAAGGCCAGGACTCAGCGAGGGACGCTCTGCAGAGCAGTAAAGAGCAGCTCCTGGGAGGCTCCTCCCCGAACGCAGGTGAGCAGCAGAGATGGAGGCACATCTGAAAAAATGACTCGAAAAACCAGTTTAGGGTGGAAAGAACAGAGCCCCAGAGGGAGAGCGGGAGACCTCGCCCTGGCTCAGAGAATGTTTGGGCTCACACAGCCACAGCAGCAGCTTTCCAGCAGAGGGACAGAGAGCACTTTGCAGGGCTGGGAACACAACTTGGAGAGAGTGCACTGCAGCCACTGAAGCACATTTTAAAGCATCTCCTTGCAGCATCTGTTTAAAACGCTACAGAACAGCAGAATGCCCACGGACAAAGCCAACCAAGCACTTCCCAAGGTGGCAGCAGCAGTTTGGGAATCAGCAGTTCTCAGAATATGGTGTTACTTTGCAGTCCAGCAAACTTGTGGCCCAGGCTCAGCACAAGGTGGCCCTGGCTCCCAGGAAAACACCAAAGGCTCACAACAGAGGGAAAGTCGGCAGCTCCAGCATCCCAGGAACCCCAACTACCGGGATCCAGGCTCTGGGACAATCCCAGCCCCAAAATCTGTGTCTGAGGCTCTGGCCAGGCACCCTGTCTACACAAGACCTTAAACCAGGCTTTGCCCCTGGACAACTCTTTCAGAGTCCCAGGTGGCTCCCAGTAAGCTCAGCAGCACCCTGGCATCCCTGTGGCTCCTGGGGATGCCCATCCAGGTGCAGGTGCCAGTAGGGCTCTCCCTGGCCACAGCCAGGGCTGGTTTCAGACAAAGCCAAGTTCAAAGGTCCCCACAAACCAGGAACCCTGTGTTTCAGGCTGATCCAACACAGATCCCACAGCAACATGGCATCTTCCCAATGCAGGACCAGGGAGGGACAGCAGAGGATGGAGGAGGAAGGGGACAGGAGAAGATGGGGGTCACAGCCCCCACCTAAGCACCAGCGAGACACCAGTGATGCCAACACAGGCTTGTGGCTGTTCTTCACCTGTTTTGTGTGGTGCAAGGACAACCCAGGAGCAGAGGAAAAGGCTCAGGGTGCATTGTCCCTTCCTGGGTGACCTCTTTGTCCCCTTTAAATTTAAATCACACTTGTCTCAGAGAGGGAAAGACACAGACAGGATGGAAAGTGGCTGCTGAGAGAGCACCTCTTTGCCATTGAGATCCCACTGACCAATGACAGCAGTGATGTTCTCTTACCAGAGCTGCTGGAGGCTCCAGGAGGACCCCCAGACCAGAGCCAGTCCCTGGCACTGGCACTCAAAGACTTTAAGTGACCTGAAACCTTGCTAGAGATGAGAGTTGGAAGCATTTGATTCCACACAGACCCAATCTTGCACCCACACAAAACGGGCTGCTGTTTGCATGGGCCAGGAGGGGATTAATTCCTTCTAGGTTAAAAGGAAACTAAATTAGACAAGATCAACTGCCTGTAATCCCCTGGTAAACAGCCCCTGGCACAGGGAGGAAGTTCTAAGAATTAGCAGCAGGAGTAAACCAAGCAGATACCAGCACAGCCCTCTGGACAGCCTGTTTCCTGAGCCATCCATCACCCTGGAGCAGCCTGGAGCCCACAGCTGGGGCTCCTCACCTGCACAGCTCAGGACAGCACCTTCCTCTCCTCTGTGCAACAGGACACTGCTGTGATCCTTCCCCAGCCACGTCCCAGCCTGGCCAAGATCCCTCAGAAGGACAGAGCGTTCCAAAGGCCACAGTCCTTGCTGTTGGCCCTGTGCACACACAGACACACGCCCTGGCAGCAGCAGCAGCCTCTGTGCCACACAGACAGGGCAGACAAACACGGGGATGATCTCTGGGAGGAGAGCAGCGTCCTTGGCAGGGCACCTGGCCACTCACAGACCGTGTGAGGCACGAGCTGGGAAGCCAGGCCAGGTCCTGCCTGAGCCCTAGTCCAGGAGTGATGCTGAGCACCCAGCACTGAGCTGCCTCTCCCTCACTCAGCCAGGCAGGGGAGGAGGGCAGGCAGAGTCCATGTGAGGGGCAGCTCCTGGCTGCCTGCTCATGCTCAGAGAAGCAGGGCTCGCCCAGCCCTCAGCAAAACTCCCTCCCAGCCTCAGGAGAAAAGGCTGGCAGGGGAAGCCAGAGGATGGCTCAGGGGTGATGGGTTCTGCCAGCCCAGAAGGTTCTGCTGCTGCCAACTTGGCCTCCCCTGCTCTGTGATGGACACCAAGATCTGCTCAGGGAAAGGGGAAATCGCTGCAAGAATCCTCAGGGGATTATGACAGATCCTCACACTTGTGACAGGCACTGCTGGATTCAGCCCAGGTCACTTCCAGATCCTCCGTGGGTTTTGCCTGGACTGGCCCGAGCCGTGCCAGGGCAGAGCACGGTGGTTAACCCAGACCCTGCATGAAGCAACCAGCAAGGAGACCAGTTCAGCCAGTTCTCCACCAGAGCCACCCACACGGCTGCACCTGGCACTGGGAGCTGGGCCCAAGGTGCTGGGCAGGACCTGCCTGCCCCTGTGCAGCTGGAAACCTGAGCACAGCTCTGGGAGACCATCCTGACAGCATTGCCAGGGGTCCTCATCTCCTGACCCCATCTCCTGACCCCTCCAGTCAGGCAGCCCCATCTCAGCTCCATCTCCAGCAGGATCACTCTGTGCTGCAATGGGACCAAGCTCCCTCCTGCCACAGCTGGCAGAGCTGCTGTCCTCACAGGAGATGGGTCAGGGGTGGGCAGCCTTCTTTTCATCCCAGTTGTTCCAGCCTGGAAATGCTGCTGCTGATCCAGAGGCAAAACCAATCCCAGAGCAGGTTGTGCCTTGCCCAGGCACATTCCCAGCTGAGCTCCAGCTCTGTTTGGGGCTGAGACGCATTCCTGGGGGAATAGACCTGGGGCTGGCTGCTCCTGCAGGGCTCCAGACACAACAGGAGGTGGTATGGGAAGTCACACCATAATCACTTCATTGGTTTTCCAGACCAGGATTTATCCCCGTGGCCGGGAGCTGTGCCAGGATGCAGATGCCTGGTTTTACAGGGCACACACACAGCCAGCAGCTGCCTCTTGCTGCTCACACAGCTCAGTAGTTGCCTGCAGGGACAGATAGCAGGCACAGCTGCCTAGAGGACCTCGGTGAGCACTGAACATTTCAGGGCAGGAAGATTTCAGAAACCATCCTGGGCTAACCTTTCATAAGAGATTGGCAGAGGCTGGAGGATGATGTGCTGTCGCTTATCAGCTTGGCCTCTGCTGGGTTTTTAGAGGAGATGGCAGGTGAACGTGGCCCACAAATGATTTACTCTTACCTGTGAAGGCCATTTGCCTTCTTGGATGACAATGAACTTGCCTCCTCTGTCCCTCTCCCCTCCTGAACACCTTCGGCACACCATTACTTTGGATCAGTTTTCTTTCCATTTCACCTCCTTGCTTTTGAACTTCTTCATTCTCAAACTCAGCCCCCCAGGACGGGATGCAACAGAATCTGCACTGCACAAACCCACCATGCCCTCACACCAGCCAGAGCTGCTTCTGAGCAGACACTGCAGGGGAAACTCCACTTATAAGGTCCTAAATGACTCTATAGAGTAGTGGGTGCCACAGCAGAGCAAGGGAAGGATCTTGACAACAAATTTAACCATTGGGAAGTAGGAGGAGAAACACAGGAACAACCAGAGAGCACAGATGCAGAGGGTGATTGGGGTTTGGTCTCCAATTGTTTGGCACCTGGAAACAGCCCAGAGCTGTTTATAAAATACCTATGGAAAAGCAGTTTGTGCATCTCCTCACCCTGGATGGGCCCTGCTCAGGATGCCCTATCTTTACACCAAATAAAACCAAGGGCCTGTCTCACCAGCAGCACCCACCAGCACATCCCCAGGGAGCCCTCTGCATCCACGAGGGATGCTCTGCTCTGTGGAGGTGCTGCTTGTTTGGCAAAAGGGCCAGCAGGTACAGGTAGCCCAGGCTGACTTACAAAGGATACTGGCTCCTTGCAGCTGGAGATTGAGCCTGTAACACTGGAGCCGACCTCAGCCACAGGGAAACCCTTCTGAGTGTCTGAAAAGCCATGGAGAACAGTGGAGCATGAAATCAGGGTCCCAGACACCACCTTGGGAGGAATCAGAGCCTGGTCCCACACACTCATCAGCCTCTGTTTGCCTTGCACCAGGGATGGCACCTTTTGATACAATTCCCATTGCAGCCCTTTTCCTCCCTTGTGCAGCAGTTTTCATACTCCACAAGCCAAAGGAATCTCCAGAGCCTCAGAACAGCCTAGCTGAAAAAACTTCCTCACCACTAGGATAATAGGACACTTGATTTTCTGGAGTCTAAAATTACTGGGTCCTCAAACTTTGTTTTGCTTTGCCTTATCTTTGCCAACTGATAAGCAGAGGGGAAGTGCCAAGGCCCCAGGACTCCTCCCTGCAGGTGGAATTAAGACCCATTAAGGAGCTCCCCAGCCTGCGGCAGGCTCAGCACAAGTCAGGGGGCTGTGGAAGCAGAGCCAGCTCAGCTCCAAGGGATCTTTCCCCAGAAACCAGAGGTGCCCCAGTCCAGCACAGCACAAATGGGCAGCCCTTGTCCTGCTCCTTTGGATCTCTCTAAATACAGAGGACATTCCCACCACGCCATCTCCTTAACAGCCCAGTCCCACGGCTATTGGGGACTACTCATCACCAGACCCTTCAGACATCAAAAGGACCTGCCTGCTTCCCACCCCACGGCCTCTCCAGGCTCATTCCAGCATCCTGCAGCTCCTTCTGAGTTCAAGCCCCAGAGCTAAGGAGCAGGACATCAGGGCAATTCCCCGCAGCAGTTAACGCATTAGCCTAATTTTCCTCTCCCCAGAGGATTAGCAATGCTGTAATAGCACTAAATAAATTCACTAATGGCAGATTCTCAGGACACTTTGTCTGGAAAACTTGCTTATAACTTACAGGATGCAGCCTGCAAATTTGGCTTTATTATCCGGTGACACGGCTGAAGGGAGCTGCTCCCAAACAGCGATTGGATCTGAACAAGATGTGTCCTAGATCATTAACGAGGCAATGAGGTAATTAAGCACCTGCCTGGAGAGGCAGCCTTCACACACATGGCAGAGCTGGAGAAAGAACCCATGGAATCAGGGTGGGAGATCAGAGGTTTTGGAGTTTCTTTCAAAGCTGCTTTGCCCAAACAGGAGTGCCCTGGAGAAGGGACCATCCCCTGCAAAGGCTGGGATGAAGCACCAGGCACGCAGCCCGTGTTGGGATGATGGAAAGTTAAACACGAGGGCAGGTTTGCTCTCCACACTCAGGTGCAAGGCAAAGGCCCTGCAATGTACAAAATACCTGCAGGATGGTGTATTGCAGGTGGTGGCCAACTGAAACACATGCTTGGAGCAGCTCACAGATGTTCCTGCTTGGGAGAACAACACCAGCACAAAGAAGCAGCAGGTGCTCAGAAGAGGGGCCCAGGCTGGAGCACCCCATCCTGCAAGACCTGGAGGCCCTTAGGAAGGATTGTGCTTTCAGACACCCTCCAAATCAAACCAAGCTCCTGAAAGGGCTCTGCTTGCACCACAGGGAGAGGAGAGAAACCCTTCCAGGGTGACTAAGGCAGGGGACAGAACAGTGACAGCCCCTGCAAAACACCTCCCAACCCATCCGTGAGGGCAGAGGGTGCAGCAGCCATTTTGAGCCAAGAGGCCTCACATCCCAAACTCAGCTTCCAGCCCAGAGCCCCAAATGCTTTTCAATCACACATAAACCTCCTGCAAAGCTCCAATTGTGAGCTGCTGTTGCCTGACTCAGCAGCAAGTGCTTCTGTGTCACAGGCAGGGACCTGAGCACGATGAATGTGTCTGCCACAGCTAATTCTGCGTGGCCAGGCCTCGCCTTCCCCGACTTAATTTGATGCTCTGAGAAAATTAGACGTTCTCCTGCTTCTGTGGAAAAAGGCAAGCTCTGAAGGTAATTCAGAGGCTTTGATGCTGCTCTTTAGTCATTCGGGCACCACAGCCCCGGCATCGCTCCCTAGACTGACCACGGGCAGGGATGGGAGTCACTAATCCTCATGCACAGCGTGTGAGCCTGGGGCAAAGCGCCGTGTCTGTGCTGTGCACGGCCAGCAACGTCCTGCAGCCCAGCGAGGCAGAGACAAAATCATTTCCAGAGCAAGAATTTTGACTTTAATAACGGCAGCACCTCGGGTGCTCAGCGGTGGAGGAGTTTGACGAAGATCCCAGTGTGGCAGTGCCTGGAAATGCCAAGTGCACACTCGGACCTGGGTCTGGATTTGAATGGATGGCACGGGGGAACACGAAAAACGTGCCCAGGGCCGCCTGCACACAACAGACGTGTAAATGATACCCTCTGAAAGTGGTTTTAAACCTCCCCCTCTGAGCCATTACTGCTTTTTAGGGCAGAGGTGGGAAGGTTTTCAGCACAGGGGGAGCTGGTGCTGCTCCCAGCCCCAGGATCCCACCAGGCATCCCCCGCTCCCAGCCGGGTCACACAGGGTTTCTCCTTGGCAGGAAAACCGCCCTTCAGCCATTGTTCAAAAACAGCAATCCCATCCTGAA